TTCCTGAGGTTCTATATAATCCCAGTGAAACTCTTGCAAGGATAATTCATTTTTGAATAATTCCAAATCCTTTTCGTCAATTTTTAATATTCTCTTCTTCGCTTTTCCCACAAGGTCTAAAACTCATCTATTCGTTATTAGATCTTATGCAAAATATACAACCTTTGATGGATTTCAACAAATCTTGTTCTTCGGAGTGGAGCTCCACAAAATGGGAAAATAAATTTGATGATGAACGATAATCTTTATAACAAACTGGACATATGAAACCCTCTTGAATATCGGTGTCCAATGGTGATTGTGCCATTGCCATTGTAACTTCCAGCAGAAAATAAATAAAGGGAATCAACTCGTTTCCAGTGTTGCCAACTATTTGTGATGCTTTACCACCACCACCTTAGTAAAATACCGCTCTTTATAAAGAAAAGCCGCTACGGCGCTACGTGAGATTGTATTGTAAATTTTTTTAGTAAGGGTGATCCAATCAGACAAAAACAAACTCCACATAAACAATGTTTTTTATTTAAATTACAACGAACTTGACCAAATGCCAACACAAAGTGAAATAAAATAACGAAAAATGAAAATTTTTGTCTATTTATCTAAACTAAAAAATAAAATAACTCAAGGTGGGAGATTTTTATAATAATAGAGACGCTTTGTTTATCGTTTTGTGCAAATTTGCACGTTTTACAACTTGCAAGTTGTAAAGACGTCAAAGACGTTAAGAGTGTTAAGACGAGGGAGCTGATATGACATAAAACAGTTTATATTGCACCAACAAAGATGATTCATTTTTAAAGGCGACCATCTGAATCATCGAATAAGTAAATGGTCCCCTTTGTTAATGTCTTGTGCAAGTCTTTAAGATTCTAAAAATAAGACAATATTCAGAATGGCAGTTTATAATTGATAACGACGATGACTCATTTTTAAAACAGAAAATCTCACGTCTTAAATAAGCAATTCCCTAATTTATTTCTTGTACACATTACGTTCTACGATATTGCAAATAACTTGTCTAGAGTAATTACACATTTCCTATTCTTACGATAAGTAAAATTCCGCTACTTTGAAAGAATTAATCTCATGCCGCCGCTAAAAGCATCACCAAACCGCTACGGTAGAGGAATTCCGCTACGGTTGGCAACACTGCTCGTTTCTGCAAATATTTTGTAATTAAAAACCATTCTATTTATCTAAATCTAATCGTGACTCCTGTTCATTGGGTGCGTTCACCAAACCATTGAATTACACACTGTGTATAATGTGTAATATGATGCATTGGCGGTTTTTTTTCAAATTTGAGGGATCAACCTCATCTGGGGTAAAATGCTGTGAAGCATGTTAGCGAAAATTGTAATTAATGTATGTACCTACTGTAGCGATTTTTCTAGAGCGATATTAAGGCGCTATTCGCTCGATAAAGGATTAGTCATCGGTAATAAGTACAAGAAATAAAGCAAGTGTGGATGTGACTCATTCTTTCTGTGAAATATGATATGCTTTCTAGATTTTCCTAGAAGGTTTATTGTTTGCTGTAGGTACAACAAATTGAATTGTGTTGAAATTCAATGCAACTCCCAAAGGGAACCCAACAAGCAGCGCTTCGGTACACCAAATAAAGGCCCATTTTGTGCTTACCTCCTTTCCCTCGCAACTACGTTTAGAGTCCGTTCCCTTCAAAGTTGGCACTGCGCATGCGCAAAACCAAATTTTGAAACTGCCGTTTGATTTTCCTTTATTCCAAGTGCCTAATGTATCAAATTTCACTCGACTCAACTTTTGGCATTGCGTATTATATGGCTAAAGCTATGCCCATATTGAATTTCATGTCATTCAGTTTATAACTAGCGGAGATGTCAAAGCGATCGGACATTTCTAAACATAGTTATCGTTCACACGGACAGATAGAGGGGCAGACAGACAAAGGAACAGACGGACAGACCAACAGACAGCAATACAAAATTATAAACGATCTCTAGGATCGTTATAAACAGCAAAAGTGTAAAATTGTGGAACATGTAAAAAACGGTTTTTTCGTTTTTTTTGCAATAACTAAATATATACTTACACTTTTTAGCAATAAACGCAGATAAAATTCCTTCCTTGGTGCAAGTTTCGACACCATAACGACCCAAATAGCGAAAAAAGTAGAACAACAACTCTTAAGATAAAGAACTAGTAGCGTCTCAACGAACGAGCGGACGGACGGACAAAGTGGCCGCAATAGCGCATTTTTTTAATTTTTTTGGAAATGCGCTAAAAAGAGACGGGTTACATGGAAGATCAAGGAACTGAAAAATACAGTCCTAACGCTTGTTCACAAGAACATATTGCTTTGGTTCGTGAAAGTGTTGCTGAAAACCCTGATTCCTGCCTGAACTTATAAGGATGAAATTATTCATGTCATTGGCGACAAAAAAATCTTTCAAATAAAATTTTTAGTGTGTCTAGTAAGCTACACAAATTAATATGCAATATGTATGCAATTGGTATATTTGCGCCATCTCTTTGGTAATCCCTATACTTTTCCTAATTATTTTCTTGTAATAGTTGAACCAGTTCCAATGAGATGTCGCCACGTCCGTAAAATTTCTCGGGAAAAACACTTTTTCTTATTAATTTTGGGGTGTAGAATCCAAAACAATTCGTACTTTTTCGATTAGACTTCTCAATCAAAAGTTATAGACTAGAAACCAATTCGAAAGAAAATTCAAAGGGCTGTAACTTTTGATCTAGCAGCCCAACATTGGAACTGTTTGAAATTATGGATTCTACAGGCCACATTCTATAAGGAAATGTTTTTTTCCCGGTCGATCTGAGACAATTTTTTTTCGGGCCAAAAAAAAGGCAGTTACAACCTTCCTTTTTTACCAAAAATCGACTACACCAAAATTTCTCGGGAAAACACTTTTTCTTATTAATTTTGGGGAATAGAATCCAAAACAATTCGTACTTTTTCGATTAGACTTCTCAATCAAAAGTTATAGACTAGAAACCAATTTCGAAAGAAAATTCATAGGGCTGTAACTTTTGATCTAGCAGCCCAATCTTGGAACTGTTTAATATTATGGATTCTACAGGCCACATTCTATAAGAAAATGTTTTTTCCCGGTCGATCTGAGACAATTTTTTTTTCGGGCCAAAAAAAAGGCAGTGTACAACCTTCCTTTTTTACCAAAAACCGACTACACCAAAATTTCTCGGGAAAACAGAAAAAAATATTTTAATTTTCGGAGATATACCTATTTTGACATTTTTTAAAAGTTATACCTTCTAAACTTAATGAATTGTGCGCAGGTGCACCATCTTGATGAAATATCATTCCGCGCCGAGCTGCTAATGGTATATCATCAAAAAAATTCCTTATAGTTCATTTTGTAAAAAAATCAAATACCTTTGAGAAGTTAAAGTCATAAAAATATGGACATAGAATAATATTATTAACAATTCCGCATCAGATATTAGTTGAAAACGTACCTACTTGCAAAATCACCAGGATAGAGATTATATGGATATTATGTATGAAGCTTTGAATTTACGATTTCTTGAGATTCTGTGTATGCGATACGTTTGTCGTTTAATTCTACTGCAGCTTCTCTAACTGAGTTTCTCGGATGCACCTTAAAATATGCTAATACATCAGCTTCCAAATTTTTATTTATTTGACGATTCGCGATTTGCCAGTCAGGGAACCAGTTCTACGTAGTGTTTTTTCTAATTTGAAAAATTATGTTTGATTTGACAGAGATTAGGATATTGTTGGCGGTGTAATCGCAAGGCTTGTCTTAAATTACCTATTAAGTGATAAATGGAAACATTTCAACATATCTACCCTCTCGTTAATTGTGTATTTATCCATTTTTACAACAAATAATAATCTTATCTAAGTTATCAATTCAATAAAGTTTTCTTTAATATCCAATCTAATAACTTTTAAAATATTTTCTATCAAATAGTATGAAAAATATACATCAGGCCGTACCATTAAAAAAAAAGCCAAAAATAGGTACTCGTATATATCTCCGAAAATTAAAATTTTCTTTTCTGATTTATACTTGATGTAGGTAGCTTACTAGAAACACTAAAAATCTAATAATCTCTAATAACTTCGGAGAAAAATCGCGTTCCGTTAACACTCTGTATAGAGCCTCAATTATGTCAAAATGTCATTGAAAATTGAACAAAAAAAAAGTGCCATTTGGCAGAATATTATTTTTCATATAAAAATGTCATAAGTGACGACTCTACAGTCTTCTTATTTTAGAAAAACCTAAAAAATTAGACATGTTTGTTGATTTTTGACCGCAGAATTTTCTCCCGACGTCAGTCGCGTGGCAAAGTTGGTTTTTCTCTCTCTTTGCCATTTAAACAAGTTAGAAAAGTAAAAAAACGACGACTGGAGCTACACCAATCACACAGATCAATGTATTTACCGCTATTATTTTGTCCACAACTGTATTTAATCACACAATCAACTCACTGATAATTTCTGAACGCGAGGAGTCAAATTAATTAATATTAGACGTGACCTAAAACTTACACGGCCTTCTCTCAATCAAAATTTTGTTGCTTTCTTATTTAGGTTTTATACCCAAAAGGGCACTTCCTATTTTTCAATCGTTTCCACGATCTTCTCAGCTTTTAGGACCATTAGAAGCCACATTGGTACATAATTTCAGCCAAATCGGTCTGATGCTCCTTACCACTTTTTTGAACTCCTGGGAACTTGAAACGTATCGATCCGGTGAAATCTCAAAATCGAATTTTGGAGTGATTTCAATAAACTCCCAATTTTGTATTGGTGAAGTTAAACAGCCTTTATTTTTGCAATATTTAATCATAGACCTGCATAGAGAGTAGGGGGTTATATGTAGAGGCAGCGTTTTGATTGGCATTTGAATTTAATCAACGTAAACATCATCGGTCATTTTCGGACAATAGAACACATTTTATATCATACTAGCAGATATGTAATTACTTCAGTCAGATAGCAACAATGCGTCTTCATAGGTGGTTTGCTTATTGTTATTACTGTATAACTTTAGTTTGTTTCTATGACAACTAAGTACCTACTTGTCTAAAAATGGACATCAAAAGTTTACCTCAAGATGTGAGAGATTACTTACGAAGCGGCGCAAATATACAAAGTATTGCTCAATGTATCACGGAATTGGTAAATATCCTTACTTTTGTAATCGGTAATTCTAAGTAGCAATGCATAGTAACGTACAGATGTTTATAATTAAATTCCATCCATGATTCAAACTGACGTTTGGCGTTGGCATTTGTAAAAAAACTTCAAAAATGTCAAGTTAGTACCTAACTATAGTTAGTAGGTACTAAGTAGATAGTGGCGGTAAGTACCTATATTGAACAAAAACTGTAAAGGATTTGGAAAACTCGGAAAGTTTGCAAAATAACACATTTTATGCATTATTAAGGATCAAAAGTGATCCAGTTTAAAAATACTGTAACGTGATTTATAACTTCGGGTTCGATTTATGTCAATATTTATTAAACAAAACTAAACACTACAAAAACTGTACAATTTATATCGACCATTTATATTACACACTTCGCAATTTATATCAGATTTTCGCGCTCAATGTTTCGTCCGTACTCGATCTCGTTCGATAGTAAAACTCACTGCGATGTTCGGTCCGCAACCATTTATACACGCAAGCAATGTAAGTCCAGAACACTCGCGTAATTACCGGATAAGTCTGGAATATTCCTATACAAATCCCACTATCGCGCGCGTAGAAAATTCCAGAGCGCCAAAGGCGACGTCATGTCTGGAGCGTTTCCGTTACAATACATTCAAATGGGGTCGGTTTTATCTTATTTTAGTGAGAACGGGAGATATTTAACAAACTTTTTAAATGGGTCACGATATTTGCCTATTTTTGCAAATTTTGAAATAAAATGAAGCTCTAGGTACCTATTTATTAAAGATCCTCTTTATTACTTTCAATTAACAATAGAGATGCAAACTACTAACATTTAATGTAAATTCGAAACTTAGGATAAGCTAATTAAAATTAAAAGATAGAAGGAAATGGTAGGTATAATTTGGGGGTACCAATTTTCCTTTTTACCACGGTTAGACACATATATTAGGATGCAAAAAAACCATAGGTAATTGCCATCTCAAAGTGGTAGTTAATAGAAATGGCGGCCAATATCCAAGATGGCGGATGTTGTTTTATAAAATCAACTATACCTATCTTTAGAACTATTGGTCCGACTTCATCATTTTCTTAAATGAAAGCTTTTGTGTGCGCTACAATATTGTCATAACTATACATTTCCGATAAAATCAACAATTAGTACCTACCTACCTATCTAATGCATGAATTGTAAACGAACGGAATTTTTTTTAACCCTTAACATTTAATGAAAACTAAATCAACCCCTTCGTTACTTTCAAAAGTTTCATATACACTAAAATCTGCTACTTCTTCCTTTTCTTCAGTGACTTTTCCACAAGTTGACAGTTTGCAGGCGCTTGTACACTTTAAGTTATTAGCATTAGATATAATGGTAGTTGTCAAACAATCAGCTTGGTAATTCTACGTGAGGTGATATGAAAGCCAAACTTAGGGTTATCTTTCATCTTTACGCTGCTTCCGGAATAGCATCTCTTTGATTTTGACGTAGGTACAATTTTCCAATGTATTTTTTTTGTTTTCACATAATTTATGTCAAATTATCTGGCACAATATACCAACACCTTTCCATCAATATTAACAAACTCTTTGCTGACGTTATGGCTAAAAGCCGTATTTCATCGTATTTATTGCAAGACAGTCAGTCTTGTCAGTTGTAAAGTTCTTGTTTAAGTTAAGCGGAAACGTGTTTCAAGTTTTACAAAGAAGTTAGTGGAAGTGCTGTGTTTATCGAGCAGGCGTCGCTTTATCTGAAAACTGTCTTTATGGTTTTCTCAGTGCTCGTTAAAGGGAGTTTTTTCACCATTAAAGAGCCAATTTTACATCTTTAATTACAACGAACCCAGTGCCGTCCAAACTGAGGTACAAGTTCAAATAAAGTAGAGAAGTGAAATTATAGAAACATAATCCGCACATACCAATTTCATCATCATTTGGTATTTGATCATGCCTCTTCAGCTACAATCATACAGGGTGGTGACTTGCGGAACGCATCATAGGGATTTCAATGTAAAATTCATAACATGCGATTATTGGCTCCCCAAATTATTTTAGAGCAAACATGTATTAAGGTTTTTGGTAGAAAAAATTTTTTTACGTCAATCAACCTTATTAGTTTTCAATTTTTTGCATAATAAAGACGGAAAATTGGAAAAATAAAACCCCCATCTTTTTCAATAATCTGTGATGCCATGGAATTTTATAATACAAAAACTACGCCAATATCCGTCATGCCATGGAATGTCTGCTATAAAACAAATCACATTCTATCAAAAAGTATTATATTTAGATCAGCGAATTCAACATAAAGAAAGACCTAATTACTAACAAGTTAAAAAGTAATCGTAAACGATTTACATTTTTAGCGCATTTCACAATAAAAAAAAATGCGCTATTGTGGCCACTTTGTCCGTCCGTCCGTCCGTCCGCTCGTTTTGAGACGCTACTAGTTTTTTTATCTTAAGAGCTATTGTTCTACTTTTTTCGCTATTTGGTTCGTTATGGTGTCGAGTCTTGCAACAAGGAAGGAATTTTTTCTGTACCGCTTACAAAAAAAAGTTATTGTAAAAAAAACAAAAAACCGTTTTTTACATGTTCCATAATTTTACACTTTTGCCGTTTATTAACGATCCTAGAGATCGTTTATAATTTTGCATTGCTGTCTGTCGTCTGTCTGTTGGTCTGTCCGTCTGTTCCTTTGTCTGTCTGTCCCTCTATCTGTCCGTGTGAACGATAACTTTGTTTAGAAATGTCCTATCGCTCTTACATCTCCGTTAGTTATGAACTGAATTGTATGAAATTCAATATGGGCATAGCTTTAGCCATATAATACGCAATGCCAAAAGTTGAGTCGAATCAATTCAAAATTCACAGTGCCCTTTTCGCATCTCAACCATTTATAAACCGAATTGCGAACTTTTTAAATTATAAAAGTATTTAAATGAAATTTTATACATAGCCACTTGGAATAAAAGCAAATTTCACGTCAGTTTCAAAATTTGGTTTTGCGCATGCGCAGTGCCAACTTTCTTATTTATGGAGAGATTTAAATGAAATTTGATACATAGCCACTTGGAGCAATAGAAAATCTAACGTTCGCTTCAAAATTTAGGTTTGCGCATGCGCAGTTCCAACTTTCTTATTTAGAAAAGCATTGAAATGAAATTCTTCTTATAAACTGAAATTGAAGTAGGATATCAAAATGGATTGCACATTATGCAACGCTATCTTTCATATTTGTGGCCGGATTTTTACAATTTTAACAAAAGTTGCATCTTACAAATAGGAAATGAATGCAAGTTGAAATGCACTTTATGTAAATCGCTTACGATTACTTTTTAACTTGTTTTTTTTTTAATTTTTGTGGAAATGCGCTAAAAACGGTTTCCTAATATAACAATTTACACTAAATGTTCGAATAAGTCACCATTAACTGCAACACAGTAACCATGAAGTCGATCATAAAATCCATTTCGAACTGCTGCTAATTGATAACTGGATATCTTTTTGTTTTAGAAAATTCCATGGCACGGCAGATAATTGAAAAAGATGCGGGTTTTATTTTTTCAATTTTCCGTCTTTATATGCAAAAAATTGAAAACTAATACGGTTGATATTGACGTAAAAAATTTTTCTCTACAAAAAAACCTTAGGTAATACATTTTTTGCTCTAAAGTAATTTGGGGAGCCAATAATCGCATGTTATGAATTTTACATTGAAATCCCTATGATGCGTTACGCAAGTCACCACCCTGTATGTGTAAATTCTCTCCGTTGAACATAACTCAAATTTGAAAATAAAACAATTGAAACTGCACGTCACAATACACAGAGGGTAGTCAGAAATTGAAGTGAAAGTTTTGTCTTGTGTCTGTGATGGATTTGTCCGTCCGTCTGTCTGTCTGTTCCTCGTCTAACTCGAGGACGAAAATAGTCAGCGATAACAAACCTTCGCCAATCGATTTTTACAAGTTCAAGGAACAGTGCTATTGAATATGAGCCGGATTAAAAGTTTGGTTGCCGAACGCGAGCTGAATGTCAAAAAATTCCCTTACTAAAAATCGTATACGATTCTTCGTATTTTGTTTTTCTGGTTCAACAACAAACCGCAATAGAACTTTAATAAAACGTACGCGCGAACAATTTTGTTTTCTGATGATGGCAGCTTTGCTATCGAAACATTTTAGTGTGGTTTCTTCGTGTTTTCATTTCAGTTATTTATGCTACTTTATGAAAGGATATCTGCTGGCTCGTTTGACCCATACCTACTGCTGCACTATCTTAAATAGTTTTAGCAGGGCTCAATGCTTCTGTGTTTAACAGTTTAATACTACGTTTTGATGTTTTACTGATGTTACCAAGGAAAACAACATTTTTTTCGTGCAGATTAAGTACACTGTTTTGATGAGAAAGATCATTTAGTATAATAATTAGGCACAGACCACCAATTATCAGCAATTATGGCTGGTGGACATGTTAATCTATAGGATGCTGAGCATCAATAAGTACCAATTTTCTTTTGATCAATGCCATTACAAAACCGTATTAAATAGGTACAATTTGTTGTGCAAAACATGTATACTGTTTTATTTGTATTAGGTGTTAAATAGTTTGGACGCAAAGGCCACTGCGATCGCCGTTCGTGTGAATCTTTTGACATTTCGAATTCAAGTTGTTGATAATGGTATCGGAGTCTCGCAACCAAACATGAGAGTTATTGGACTTCAGCATATGACTAGTAAATGTCGCTCCTTAGCAGATCTCAACAAAATTAAACAATACGGGTATCGCGGGGAAGCTTTAGCTAGTATTGCGAAAATGTCAAAAAATGTCAACATCACGTCACGACCCAAGGATACGGAAAATACGTACAGTAAAACATACGAAAATGGCAAATGGTCAAAAACAGAAAGCGTGAAGTTACGAGCCGCACAAGGGACGACGGTTACTGTGTCAGAATTTATGCATAATTTTCCTGTTCGACAAAAACGTGTTAATAAGAATTTTGACTTGGAGGAAACTAAAAAAAATATGGAAGCGTTAGCAATTATACATCCAAAGATCACTTTTAGTTTGAGAAATGATGGTACAGGGAATGTTATCTTACAGAGTAAACAGGCCAGTAGTGTCATTCAAGCAATTTTTAATTTTTATCCGGATATTCTAATCAACGAATTTGTGGAAATGAAGGTGTCGAAAGGTAAAATAAGTGTGGCGGGTTTGATCTACAAACAATCACATAGTAGCAGTAGGTTACAGTTCCTTTACGTAAACAAACGCCCGATCGTTTCCCAAAAAATACAAAAGTTATTAGGATCTCTGTTGCACAATATTTGTTTAAAAAATGAACATCCGGTTTACTGCTTGAATATCTCTTGCCCATGTACTATAGTCGATTTAACGCTCAGTCCACGCAAAACCATGGTGGAATTCAAGAACTGGGACATCATTTTGAAATGCCTTGAAAAAGGAATGCGCGCAACGTGGAAGGATAAGAACTTGATGACCACCAGTCAACATTCAGCAATCGTCAGCAAAAAAAGTGTTAGTTTAAACAGTAAATTTGGAGTTTCTGTACTGGAGGGAGTTGTCGTGGGGAAAAGGGTAAAACGTAACGATCCCGAATCAGAAATACCCCTCGCCCAATCAGATCCTTCAAAAGTTGTTGAAATAGATGATCACGGTAAGCAACAATTATCGTCAAATAAGCATTACCTAAGAATACAAGGTTCGAAGAAAACTCCAGCTGAAATACAACGTTACTGTCCCACAGTTACAGACTCAATGCACGACCAACAAAAAGGAAAGGGTCTTATATTGAATATGTTTTTAAAGTCCACGGTCGCATTTCCCGTTAATGAACCGGACAAAACAAACACCAATATAAAAGTAAATCACAACACAATGACCATGACCTTATATTCGATGAAAAATGTGATACAAAATTCCCACATTATTAGAACCAGCAAGAACAAGCAAATGGTTTCAAAATGTATGCAGACTACTATGATGCAACAGGAAGATGTGCAGTTTCAGTCTAATTACCATTTTCCAATAGTAAGAACCAATTTTACTAAGTGTGCCCAAAGAACGCATCGATCATACTTTGTTGATAACAATTTTGGAAACTGGGGACAAAAAGATATTCGATACGACGTCCTTAATTGTCAATACTCTCCGTATTTTAACAGAAACCCTGAATACTTCATAGATGACTCATTGTTGGGAAGACGTTCAGAAAATGCCCACATTACATATGATTACAATGCAACTGTGCAGCAAACATTTTGGGTTTCTCCACCGTCGTATTTTACGAGGGGTCTCACTCGTGATGAGCGAGTGAAGGGTATTATTTCTCCTTTCTTTAAAAATTCCCTTTTAATTCAAAATGAAGACCTAAATAAGAATTTACAAAATCCATTTTCAATAAGAAATGGAAAAATAAGTAAGATGAAGCGGAATTTACAGTTTTTTGGGAAACAAAAACCAAATAAGGCAAACAAAAAAGGAAAAAAACAGAAAATGCACATAACAATTCCTGTGAATCGACTAAGCCCTGCTTATGAAGATTACCAAGTACATATTAACCATCAAGAGCAACCAGAAACTTTCCTTCCCGAACCTATAGGAATGCAAAATATACCTTTTAAGTTATTCCCCGAGCAATCAAAGTCGCATAAAGCGAAACCCTTATTGCAACTGGGTAAGACAGGTACTTTCAAAAACATTCTTATAAGTATTTTTTTCAGGCCCTCCAATTGAGTTACATCCAAATCTTTTAAGCAATCACGAACTGCAGAAAATCAAAACGCACAAGAAAAGGGCATCCAAAAAAAAGGAGAGGAAACGACGAAAGTGTATCCCTCGTATTACTTCAACTGCTGTGAGTTGGATTTCGCATCACAATAAAAACCGCATCGAGAACACTTTTAACCGAAATTTGTGTAATAGTAACTTTGAGACAATAAATTCAAATATGCTTACTACCGCCCCCATTGGTTTTCGTAATGGGCCTGACATGTTTCCTGCATCTATTGTAATGCACAAGGATAAATCGGACGAAAATAATAGTTTTATGCAATGTTCCTTACCCGCTCATTCTTACCCCCTAGCCGCCGATAAAGTTGAAACAATTGAAAATGTTGAGGGTAGGTATAACGTTATGTTATTGAAAAATTCATAAGTACTTTCAGATAAAACTTGGATTTTTAATCAAAATGGGCCTGTGGACGAGGAGTGGACGTTGCACAATTTTAATTGGGAGGAGAATAAGTATATTAGTAAGCACACAGGTATCTATATGTATCTTCTTGCATTTAAATGAGGTTCAAATTCGTGACTCATTTCGACAATATAGCCAGGAAGTTTATTTATTTATCCGTCTCCGCCACAGATGAAAAATTCACCTCAACCCAGGTTCGAACACCCGACCTCCGGGTTTATAGTCCAACGCTCTACCGTTGAACCATAAAGCCTGTTGATCTTTTCGTCTTGACACGTTGCTCAGGTGAAAAATGGTATAGAATTTTCATTTAGGCTTCTCTTTGACTAAATATCTCTCATCTGGTATAACAACAATAATTCTAAAAAGTTAATAAAATTTTAGCTACATTACAATAAACTGTGATACAATAAAAAGCAAGAGAAAAAAATGTACCTACTTCTTTAATTACTGCAACTGAAGCAAGTCGCTGACCTCTAAGCGGATAAGTCATATTTCGGCAGATCGGCATTCGGGAAGATTCTTGCGTAGTGGTGTTGGATCCTGGGATATCTGCACTGTCTTACTAGATCTCGGCTGGATTAAGAGGGCGCAGGGGGTTGGAGGGGATGCGTCACCAACTATGTCATTGTGATTCCCCCTCCGAATTACCGAAACGGATTTTGATTTTTTTAAATATCTCGTTTATTTACTAAGACATGGGGGGTGGTAAGTTTTCAAATTGCCACCCTGTATATTCGATATTCTCCAATATTGGGCCTATAAGAAAAAAGAAAGCAGGTATTCTTCAACATCTAGCATACTATGGAAATTCTGAACAGATTCAAATTCTCCGAAAGAAAATACCCATGGAAGGTGCTAACGGGAATAGTCCATTTCCAACCGTTTAAACTAGAGAAAACGACAACGATATTTGACATTTTCACTTTTTCGGTGATATCTCAGTTATTTTCAAAAATCTCTCACCGTTACGACGATTCCAATGGTGAGCCATGAATTTGAACCACCCTGTGGATACGTCATTTATCCCACAGTTATGTTTGTCTATAAATAAAATTCGTCAATGTAATGTTTTTAGGAAATTCTAACTCCAGGCAATCGCCTGTGTTTCCCATTAGTAATTCTTACTACAGAACAGTAATGAAAGATGAACGGGAGACCAAAGAAGACAACAGTGGGAATCTGATTTACATAAATCAACAAGAGGGTAACTACATTCTCATAACTTCTATATTGCTTACAGCATAATTTTTTCAGGAAAAACTTCAATCTGTAATCCACAATGCAATGATGCTAACCCCGCTGTGATCTTAGAAAATGAATGGATGCAACAAGAAGACAGAGTGGGGAATAAGTTTTTTATAAACAAACGCACAGGTACATTAGAACGTTCTATAAGCCAGCTTTATTCATCAATTCATTTTCTAGGAATGACCTCAATTTTCAGTCCAAAAACTACAAATTCGTTTAAAGTAACGAAACGTATAGATTTCGTGCCAAAAGGTTCATCACCGGCATTGTTTAAAACTATCAAGTTTAATGGCTCCTTAACTCCTTGTTCGAAAAAAGAATTGCTGAAAGCCCTCATAAAATGCCATGAAGATGAGTTGGGGACAATTAAATGGAGCAATTATATTCAAGATGGGATAAGTAATTTAACATTCCAAACTGAAAATGATTGTTTCGGGGCCGTTCGCGGGTGTTCACAAACGGGCGATCAAAAAAGGATTGATGTCGAGTCGCTTTTAGAAGTTCAAACAAACAAAAATTTCAAAGGTGACCCGACATCAATTCTTTTTTGATCGCCGAGTATTTTCCAAATCATGGATCCGCATTCGACCTTCAAACAATTTTTTCTCACTTACATATTACTTTCTTAGTCACTTGCTTTTTTACCTTATAAACTCAACTCAAGATTTTTGAGAGGTTTAATTCTACTAACCATTGAAAAATGTCTACGACGCTATCTTCAATAGTTTTTTTTTTAATTATTACACTATGACGTTAGTTCAAATATACAACTAGGCAAATGACGACGAAAAGTGGCAAAACTACAACGCGAAGAACAAATGTTCGTAAATACCTTTATGGTGTATGCAGCAGGAGTTCTCAATGCTCTTTCGTGGATGCTTCAGTGGTAAAGGTTTGGTTCCGCCTCTGGGACTTGGATATGGGTTGAAACGTACGGACCAACCAAACTTCTGGGTGAGGATTTTTGTTGATTGCTTCTACGATGTGGAAAGTCATCTCAGCTCAGCTGTATTCTGCACGGACCGGTCACAGAATCCGCGCGTTGTTACCCATAGACAAGAAAAGGTTGCAACACCCCCATTGGTACCGAGGCACGTGGCGCAGTGGATGCGCTCACTGATGCTATTCGGAAGGTTGTGGGTTCGAATCCCGCTGCCGACTGCTCTGTCTGGGGTTTTGTCAGGGGGTTTTCCTCAGACATACGTAGCTTCGCATAATGCTAGCATTATGTTGAAATCTACGAGGCGAATGCTGGAGCAGTACTCTCCCCCTCAGCACCCTAACTCCGTTCCTTCCGTTCCCATCCCTAACTGTACCCATCCTAACAATCCCGTTCTCTGGCTGAAGAGGGCCAGGAAGCCCTGAGCAGCCCGCCTCCGGTATCCCTGTAGTCAGGGGTGCCGGAGGAATGAAACACGTTGGCCTTTTTCCTTTTTTTTCCTTTTTTTCCCCCATTGGTTATAGTGCCAGACGCCACTGGGTCGACCCCAATATACGTAGCACCAGCAGACGGCTGAGACTGGCCGGCTGAACTCAACTTCTCTAACGCCAAGAGTAGGCAGATCCACGTCAATTACTATAAGTTTGATTTGTATAAAGTAGTCGTGGGTTTTTTATTTTAATATTCCTAAAGAAATCGACCCGTGAAAATTACTTCTAGCATTTATGCTATCAAATAAAATAAATGATTTGATTAATTGCCCATTCCATAAATTGTGTTCGTTCAATTAACTGTTTTAGTTTAGATTGATTTAATTTGTTTGATCCATGTTCCTACTTCCTTGCAGGTGTCAGTCAATTTTTTACTGACTTATATGAAGAAAAAAGTAAACAAGTGGTTAATGCAATTCAGAATGTGTCAGTTGCGGCGTTTCCAAGAGCAATGATAAAAACATTCAATAACTTACAGCCCCAATCTTTTGCAAAAGATCTATTTTTGGATCTTGATATTATCGGACAATTGGATAAAAAATTTATAGTAACGTTTTGTCAGTCAACGCAATTGGTTATTCTTTTCGATCAACATGCAGTTAGTGAGAGAATTCGATTGGAGAATTTACTTAAAGGTAAGTTACAGTAACAACAAAACATATGCAAATGAATATTATTGTGTTATAGATTATAAAGAAAATGAGCGGTTTAGGTCCACCAAGTGCAACATTATTGCTGTGGATGTATTTTCTGGTCAAGACTTAATTGTTTTAGATAATTTCAAAAAATACTTTGAGACTCTAGGTTTTTTGTACAAGATCCAGCATAAAACACTGGAAATTACACATATGCCCTTGTGTATATGGTCCCAATTAAAAAAAAATGTAAGTCCAAATTTTAAGATTAAGATGTATTAGGTACACGACTGGGAGGAGTAGGAAAGAGTAACTTTCCAAATATAGCATAGTCTCTGCTGTACGAGTCTTCGACAGTAGAGTACTCAACCCTTCGTCTGCCTGTATATGCAGCATTGTTGAAAAAATACTCAAAATTGTAGGATGAACGTAACTTGAGAAGGCTAATTATTTCGTTGATTAATGAGCAAATTGATGGCATCTTATCTACACGTGGTATAAGTCTCAAAAAGCCCACAGTCATTCAAAACGTTATCAACATGGAAGCATGTCGAGGTTGTACGAAAATTGGTGTTATTTAAGTTAATGCGTAATTTTAGGCGCAATCAAATTTGGAAAACCATTATCAATACAGGAGAGTGAAACACTGATAAAGGAGTTATCAATGTGCCAACTCCCATTTCAGTGTGCACACGGACGACCTACTTTATCACCTATTATTGATCTACAACATAATAATACTCTGCGAGATTATGCGCTTAAGCCTAATTTGAAAATTTTGAAAAGTTATCAGTTTGTTAAATGTAATTTTTAGTACTATAGTGTAATCCATTCTATCCACTTATGTATTGTTTATTATCTAATCAATGTTATACAATTTATTTGTAATTAATAAACAATTTAGAGTCTTACGCCACCATAGTGTAATAATATACCTATTATAATATACAGGGTGGTGCCTAGCGCCACGCAGCATAGGGATTTAAATGGTAATTTCTTTATAGTCAATTACTAGCTCCCCTAATTATTTTAGAGCAAAAGTCTAAATACGTTTTTTTAGAGAAAAAATACTGCATAATTAATACTATTGAGACGGGGCTACATGGTATCGGCGACATCTGAGCGCCATCCCAGCGCGTGGTGAGCTAACCTAGAGATTTTTCAGGTTTTTGCTATCTTCTTCTACAGTTTTGGTCCGATTGTTTTCAAATGTGTGTCGTCGGAAAAATCTTGTAAACGCGCACAACTTGCGTGACGGAATTTTGCTTTTTTCCTAAGGTCGAAATTAACCACCTTTTGCAAGGCGCGCGTTTTCGAGGGGTAGTCGACTTCGGGGCTCCAAAAGATATCTTCCGCTGCGAATTTTGTCACGCGGTTTAAAGTTTCTTAAATCTCGAGTCGCGGTCTCTCTTTCTCGTGCCTCCAATAGAAACCGGAGCTATAAGAAGTGCCCCAAAAATGGAGTACTATTCTGTGTTTTTAGCGAAATCTACCAAAATGCGAATTGCGGGTTAACGGGGCGTCGGAAATGGGTACCGACAATGGGAATTGGGCAAGATACTACCCAAATCTGTGATACTACTACCGAAATGGATACTCTAATATGCTTGAAAGAATTACGCAATTTTCACAATTCGGTATATGTTTGAATTTCAGAACCTTTTTGTTCCTGTGAGTAAAGATTAGTGTTTGTAATAATTACGATTGCAAAATATTACATAATTAGAATACATTTATTTTAATTAAACACTAAAATAAAGCAGATAATTACAGTTACGTTGAACCTAAAAAGAAAACCTAAACTATCTAAACAATTCTAATTTTTTTAAATACTTTAGCATTTCAGTCCCCGGGTTAAATTCAACTTCGAAAATAAATTGTCATTAATTCTCCCGAAAAATGACTTAAATGATTTAATTATTATAAAGGAATATTGTCTTTTACCTTATGAATGAAGTCTCTTGATTCAGCGGGAGTTTGTTGAACTCGAACGATGTCGAACCTTGGAATTTTTTCTGCGACTCGCAAATTGTCGGCGTCGTAGATGCCCACGTCCTGGTTGTTTTGAACTCTGCAACCCTTCTCTGCAGTCAGTCTCCTCGGATAAATGGATTCAAGTAATAACTTGATTTTTTCTATTTAGATCGATATGGAAACAAACGCTAGCAATTAAAATTCGAAAGCGATGAACAAAAAGTGTGCTTCGGCCGTTGGTCCTTTCATAGTAAGTAGTTCGTGAACACTTTTAAAATTGCGCGTTACTGTGATCTCACTTTTAGGAAACTTTCCACTCAGATATATATGCAGGTAAATGGTGATGCAATTTCTTCCGCGCTGAGCGATACTATTAGCTGAAACTCTCGCTTTAGTTTACACTTTGATTGGGTACTATTGCCCTAAACGGCAATATAGTTTTAGGCGCCTTTTAAATATTTCGCAATGTTATAAATGGTGCACGTTAAACACTTGCTTTTAGCACAGATTTAAATATTCTATTTTTAAATCTGTGCTTTTACAATGCGAGCTTCACGAGTGTAATCGCACTCATTCAAAATTTTCCGTCCTTCTTTCTGCGGCCAAATTACTTACATTCCCTGTATACCTACTATAAATTTATGGCCGCTGTTGACAGGAACAATCTTATCATGCCTGTGCTACTGGATTGCTCCAGGGCCTTTGATAGAATTAATCATAACGTGCTTCTATCCATCTTGAACTTCATGGGCTTTGATGAAACTGCCATTAAGAGTATTCGTGAGTATATGAGTGACAGAACGAAACGAGTTGTATTGAACGGACAGTCATCTAAAAGTTAAAACATATACAATTGCAAAAGGAGTGCCGCAAGGTTCAGTCCTTGGGCCATTACTGTATGTCATATACACAAGTAACTTTCACCGCCATCTAGAGCACTGTTCCTAATCATCTCTATGCGGATGACGCTCAGTTGCTTTATGAATTTCCCTCCAACAGCATTAGTACCGCAAACAACAATGTAAACGCTGATTTAACCACGTTATGTAAAATATCTGAAGATCATGGGCTTCTAATAAATTATAATAAATCATCTGTTATGTTGTTTGGCAGGTTTAAGATGATTGCCAGATTTAAACCTGACCTTGCAATAAATATATCTGTAATTGCGCTTCCGGTCGTAGATGAGGGTAGAAACCTTGGACTTCGGCCAGCATGTATCATAACATTATAAAAAGCAAGACACCGGAGTATTCATAATTCATATAATAAAGTTGTATTTAGGAGGGATGTTCATGAAATAAATGTTAAAGAAGTTAAATTCTATTACAATACCGCACCATAAAACCGCATTTATTTCAGCGATCATTTTCTTGCGATGTCGCGAAATTATATAGGTAACCAAATCTCTGATGAGTTTAAGTCCGTTTCCCGAACAACATTTAGGTCTAAATACCAACAATATCTCTTTGAGCGACAGTAGTTTATCACTTTATCAGTATATTTTTTAGTTTCTTATTCACTTGGCAAATCATTTTATTTTATTTATTATTTTTTTTTATATAACAATATTATTGATGTATCATTTGGGTTCAATTTTTTTTCTTAATAATTATATTCAATGTCTTGACATGACAGTAATTTGTTAATTGGGGGTGAAGTGGAAGAATATATAATTCAACTGTTTGGTTGGTTAGTCTGAACTTCATCGTATTGAGTTTCGCGAAGGGTTTGTTTATTTTTATTACCTATTTGGAACGCTGTTTATCAATAAATTAATTGAGTAATGACCTTGACTTTAAATAATTATTTTAAGGCTTTTATTTTTGGTTTATTCTTTTCTTCGTTATTGCCTATCTGATTATTGCTATCTACATCGATATCCTCTGTGGAAACCTACGCGGAATTATTCTGGATCGAAAATAGTAGCAATTCAATGCTGGTGATTTTCCGAAAAGATTGCGTAAACATTTACAATGCTGAATACAAAAATTCGAATGTCGCATTTGGTAAGTTTCGACACAAGCGACTACTTATGATAAGCTACGAAAGCGTAGAAGGGCCACATACTCTCCATTTTTACTTGCAATTGCGATTTACTATATCGCAATTGCGTCTTAATAACTTGCAATTGCGACTTACTATCTCGCAATTGCGACTTACTATCTCGCAATTGCTACTTACTATCTCGCAATTGCGACTTATAAACTCATAATATTACAATTGATACCTACTGTCGATTAGCTTGCCTTAAGCCTTAGTCTATGTTGTACGTTTGTCGCGTATTGCATGCATTGCAAAAATGAGTGAAACGCAATTGATCACATTTTATTTTACTCTCGGGTTGTCCAACGATGAAATTTTAGCTTTCCTTAAAGTACAACATAATTGTAATATTAGCCTTCGGACTTTAAAAAGAAGATTGAAAAATTTAAAACTTTTTCGAAAGAAAGGATATTCTCCAATAAACCAAGTGGCTACATACTTATTTAAGGACACAGGTATCCAAATCAGGGCAGCTTCATGGATATCGTTGGATGCACCTCAAATGCATTCAAGAAGGTTTTGTAGTTCGGCAGGAAACTATTCGGCGACTTTTGAAATCCATTGATCCCGTGGGTGTTGAAATAAGAACAAGGAGAAGACTTCGAAGAAGACAATACAATAACAAAGGACCAAATTACTTATGGCATGTAGACTCTTATGACAAGTTAAAGCCGTTTGGTATTGGAATTAATGGGTGTATAGATGGATTTTCGCGCCATATTATGTGGATGAAGGCTGGGAGAACTAATAACAATCCCCGTGTTATCGGTGGTTATTTTGTTGACACTATACAAAAGATTGGAGGCATACCATTGACCATCAGGGCCGATATGGGTACGGAAAACCGCCACATCGAACAAATGCAGGTATTTTTTCGAAGAGATACGGGTATTAATATCCACAGACCAGCGTTTCTTTATGGTAAAAGTACAGCCAATCAAAAAATTGAGTGCTGGTGGGGAATATTAAGAAAGCACAACGCGGAGTTTTGGATGAATTTATTTAAAAAGATTCAAGACGATGGCTATTTTAATGGTTCTTACTTGGAAAAAGCACTAATCCAATTTTGCTTCCTTCGAATAATCCAGGTACGCTTTGAACTTAGTTATTTTGTTATTTATCACATTAAAATTTTTTTGTGTAGTCAGAGCTGAACAGCGTGGTTTTGGAATGGAACTCGCATAATATATCTTCATCGAAGAACAGCATATTGCCAAGAGGAAAACCATTAATTATGTACCATATTCCTGAAATATATCGAAGTAATGATTATTTGATCTCCGTTGAATTTGACGACTTGGAAATTGCTCGTGAAGAATGCGTATTTCTTGATCAAGAATGTCCCTGTGATAAGGATGTTTTTGAACTTTGTAATATTCTACTTAATGAAGCTGCAGTAGAAAATATTCCATCCGATCCGTATAATGCGATTGATGTGTACTTATACTTACGGAACAAACTATCATGTTTATTATAGTGTTGTAAAACCGCACAATAAATAAGTAGATCCATTTGCAAAAAAAATTAAGCAGGTTAATAAAGATGAAAAATACGTACAGTCTATCTCAGGAAGGAATGCCGGTCACAGAACACTTGATGCCGATCTATAATCGTATGGTTTAATATGAAAAACATGGCAAATTACTTCCCTAATAATAATACTGATTAGAAAATATATTCTAATCAAAGTATTATTACTACGGAAGTAATTTGCCATGTTTTTCATATTAAACCATCGATTTTAGATCGGCATCAAGTGTTCTGTGGCCGGCATTCTTTCCTGAGATAGACTGTATATGTGTAAGATTGTCCGTTGTAAGTGTACAATCGCCGTCGAGATACGAACTCCAATCTCGCAGAGTTACAGATACCTACAAAGAAAGTAAACAAAAATCCTGGGAAGATTTTGTAACATCAATTAACACAAACACCAGCAACAAAGAAATGTGGGAAAAGATCAAAAGCATTAAAGCTATCCACAAACCATTTAACATCCCCGGATTAATAACACCTGACAGCACCATCACAACAACGACTAAAATAGTCGAGACCTTAGCAAAAAATTTCGAACATATTTACAATACACAAACCTACACAGACTCATTCCTGAGACACAAACAACAACTTGAAGACACCCCCATACCCACTGAACTCGATGATGACGAAAGTTATAATAAAACCTTCACATCGCTGGAACTTGAAATAGCACTGAATAATTGCAGAGACACAGCTCCCGGACCCGACGGAATACATTACAACATGCTTCAGAATCTGCCACCACCATTCAAAACCACTATTCTATATCTTTACAACCGAATATGGACGGAAGGCAACATCCCCGCGTCATGGTGCACTGCTACAATAGTCCCAATCTTGAAAACAAATAAAGAAAAAGCCGACCCAAACAACTACAGACCAATATCACTCACAAATACTCTATGCAAAATCATGGAACGAATGGTAAACTACCGCTTAAACTGGATCCTAGAACAACAGAACCTCCTCACATCAATACAAAGTGGATTCAGACGCCAGCATTCAACTATTGACCACATAGCTAAACTCGAAATGGAAGTTAAAAATGCGTTTACAAATAAAGAATCCTTAATAGCAATACTCTTAGATATTAGTAAAGCCTACGACTCGACCTGGACAAGAAGAGCGATTAATATATTGATGAACTGGGGATTCAAAGGGAGACTTATAACATTCATAAAAAACCTAATCACCGACCGAAAATTCCATGTTGAAATTGGTAACGTAAGATCAAATACGTACTCCCAAACAAATGGCCTTCCTCAAGGTTCATTACTCAGCGTTACCTTATTCCTGATCGCAATAAACGATATCGGTGACCACGTCCACTATCCAGTGCAAGCAATGCTATACGCCGACGACTTAATAATCTTGACAAGAAACGACGACATAGAAGCTATCCGTCAAAATCTCCAAAAAACCTTACAAGACCTGGACAGCTGGAGCACAAGCACAGGATTCAATTTTGCCGCCCACAAAACCAAATGCATCCACTTTACACGAAAACATAGACAAGACAACCCGCCCCATACACTGAACAACATACAGCTGGAATACAAGAGCCAAATAAAATACCTTGGAGTCATATTTGACAGTAAGCTAACTTGGGCACCACACATAAAAAAACTAAGAACCGACTGCAAAAGACCACTAGACATAATTAAAACAGTCTCACATACAAGGTGGGGTAGCAACAAAGAATCGCTCTTACGAATATTTGACACCTTAGTACAGTCCAAAATAGACTACGCCGGTTTTATAACAGTAAGCCGTAATAAAAGATTAAACAAACTGGTAGAATCAAGGCCTACGATTAGTTACCGGCGCTTTCAGATCAAGCCCAGTAATTAGTATCTACAGCGAAACCGGGAAAACCCCTCTAAAATACAGATACAACCAGAAGTTATTAAAATACGCAATTAACATTATAGCGAACAAGAAACACGCGAACCATAATAACCTTGTCTACCCCCCTTTCCCAATACTACACAACAAAAACAACAAAAATATTCCCCCTTACAACATCCGAGCCTACAACCTCCTCACAAAACTAAACCTTTGGCAACGTGAATTTCTACAACCTACAAAAATAAACGCCCCATGGACCCTCCCCAACATCAAAGTCGATTTAAGCCTGACCAACCACAAAAAAACAAACACCTCACCGTTAGAGTACCACAGCCTTATAAACGAACTAATTGCAAAATACAGCGATTACAATAAAATATACACAGACGGTTCTAAAAGTAGTGAGTCTGTAGGCAGTGCGATTGTCAGCAAAAACTTAAATACAATGTACAAGCTAAATGACGGAACGTCTATCTTTACCGCGGAACTATACGCTATCCTACAAGCGACCAAGCTCATACTAAGAAGAGATCACGAAGAAAAGTGGATCCTCATAACAGATTCCCTATCCGCACTCACCGCAATACAGCACATCTATTGCACGCACCCTTGTGTACAAGAAATACACACGACCCTAACACACCTAAGCCAAAAAAACAAAAAGATCGTCTTCGCATGGACCCCATCTCATAGAGGTATCACAGGAAACGAAGAAGCCGACCAACTAGCCAAACATGCCCTCACATCTGCAGAAGCAACAATCGAAAACCTATCCACAAAAGAAGACCACCAAAAATACACAAAAAAAACCGTAAGAAGAGAATGGGAAAGAGAATGGTCCTCATGTGAAAACCTACTGAGGTCCATAAAAGACGACACCCAGAAATGGAAAACCAAAAGGTCATTCACCAGGAAAGAAGAAGTAATTATAACACGACTCAGGATTGGGCACACGCATCTCACCCTAGCACCAAAAAATCTTCAATGTATCCTGATGAACAAACACTCCGAACTACCAAATGTTATCAAATATCTTAAGGCAATTAACAAACTTGATCTTATCTAATGTAACTACATACATATGTAACAGTGCCAATGACCTCAGCAGTTGAGGCACTCAAATTTCATAATAAAAAAAAAAAAAATGTATCCAGTTTATTTTCAAATAATGCCGAACGTATTTTTTATTTAGTAATAAAACGAAACAATCATTCTTATTATGGTAAAATTATAAAATAAAATATGTAAAAATTAAAAAATATCCATTATCCAGATGTTAGAGGTTAATATACAATTGAATTCTGAACGAAACTCCATGAAATTATCATAACAATCGGGAACTTCTAAAGTATTTGTGCATGTATGGGCAATCGGTCGACGGCTGAAACCATCAGATTTGGAAAATATAATTTTTATTTTATTACCCAAAAGGATGTCAGCCCCCGTTGCAAACCTTAGAAAAGCCATACGAATATTCTCAGGAGCCTCACGTATATATCTCTTTAACATAGCAGATACTTTTTCTGCTTCCTCGGACAAGTTGTCATCATATAACAAAGCTGCTAGTATGTTTCTAGATGTTGGATTGCTAGTTCTATAAATTTCATTAAATTCGTTGACATCTACCAAATTTACTAGGACTTTATTAAAGCAATCAGATATGAAAGCAGACTTCTGAAGAATTTCTTGGTGGGCTAGTTCGTCAATGATTTGTTTAATATTATCTTCTTTCGCCAGAGTTTTACAATCGTAACGACCTAACACATCAAGGAGTTCGTCCGTAGGAATCGACTCAAAATGGCCAATTGCCTCACGGAATACTGTTTGTCGTCTTCGCTAATGTAACCAAAAAAATCAGTAGTTACGTCTCCAGAACATTGTTTGAAAATTGTGTATTCCATGAAACATTTCGATAATCTGATGGGAAAATACTTGTCAGTAATCCAACCTTGTTTTAATACTTCGGCGATTGCTGACCATTTTTCTACTCCAAAATCGTGTCTTAGTTGGGGAACTTTAATGTTTGTACCGATTGTGCATTTTTCATACATGGAATTCCAAAACTCGCTAAGTGCATCCCTCCATACCCCACCCAAATCTTCGGCACACTCCAATTCACCATTGGGGAGCATGAGAGTTACATGTATTTTACTACCGACCATTCTTCTCTCCAGAAATATATTTATTAGCTCTTCAAATACCCGTCCTCTATGAAGACAAATCGAGATATCGGCTGTTGGACTCACAGGAGTAACAGTTGTATTCTCAGTATTCTGTTCCAATGACAAAATGAAACCGTCGTTCTCTTCGTTTTGTATTTGTGTTGCTAACAACCTGTCGTTTGCAACCACTGCATCCGGTGGTAAACAAAGGAAATCTTCAATGTTGTAACTGCACTGGAATTCCGTAAGGTCAGAAGAAAGTTGTGTTGGTACTTCCCCATACATTGTGTCGCTGGTGCCCCTTGTATCCGCAGTTTCACTTGTGACAGTCTCACATACTTCCTTTCTTTTCTTTGGAGTAGTGCACAAATACAGGTGGAGTCGCGTTATTTTAGCAGTTTGAAACATTTGTTCAATGGTCATTACTTCATCCTCTAGTTCTTTAGCACAAAAGTCTAATAGGGTAGTGTTCATATCGGACAACTTTAGTCCTTTTGAAGATGTACCGTTAGGGAAAAATAGATTGCATCCTTCGTCAATGATGTCTTGTTTATTGTAATATTTAGGTACGCGAACATCTCTACTACCGCCTCCGTTAATTGCTCGTACTTGCTTCGGTTCCTTGAATGTTTCATTGTAGTGAAACCATCCAAGTTTTATGAGTCTCGTATTTTTACCATTTCGGGGTTTTGTACTGCTTGGTTGCATTGAATCATCGTCTTCGCTGTAAGAGTTACTATGTTTGCGTTTGTTTGACACTTTTTTGCGAAGACGATCAAACAAACTGATTTTGCGATTGTTTGTATGAACTTGTCGTTTACAAAAATCTACAACAGCAAGTCTATCTCCATAAGATGCAAATAATTTTGAAAGTTCCGTTTCATCCATTAAAGCAATAATATCCGTGTCAATCTAAGAAAGTAATATTAGTGTGTAAGCAATCATACATAACCACAGAACATAATACCTTATGTAGTCGAAGGTAATTTAGAGTATCTTCTGCTACATTTCGTCCAATTAGAAACTCTTCCAGTGCTGTAGAAAGGTGATAGCTGGTTTCTTTATCCATCTAAAAATGACGGATTTAAATAACGGAATGCCTGAACAAAATATACCTAGAAGGCAGTCTTAAACATTTTGTATAGACTGGTTACAATTTAGGTAAGTACAATGTATTTATACAACTTTAATCTAAGGTTGGTGGAGTAAATTCCAAATATTCAAAACATGATGATGAATGAATACCATTGAATAAAAACACTATTCTTATTCAATGGTAATACTGATGACTAAATACAGTTTTCAAATACGCAAAGATTTTCTCTAAGTTTTAAATCATTATCATCAAAATTTAGTTCAAATTGCTCCATAAATAAGAAAGTTGCGTTTTGCGCATGCGCACAAAATTTGTTGTGCAAGCAATTTATTTGCTCTTATTAAAAGGACCTACCATCAAAATTTCGTTCAAATTGCTCCATAAATAAGCAAGTTGCGTTCTGCGCATGCGCACAAAAATTTTTTCGTATGTAATTTATTTGCTTGACTCAACTATTAGCATTGCGTCTTATATGATTAAAGGTATTTGTGGAACTGGATGCTCGCTTGCTTACTCACCTCAGAGAATAAGTGTAACACTTCACCTGTTGAATGTTTAAGTTAAGACTAGTAATGTACAAAATGGAGAATTATAAGTTGCAATTGCGAGATAGTAAGTCGCAATTGCAAGATAGTAAGTCGCAATTGCAAGTTATTAAGACGCAATTGCGATATAGTAAATCGCAATTGCAAGTAAAAATGGAGAGTATGTGGCCCTTCTACGCTTTCGTAATAAGCAGACATACGCCTTACCTTTTTTAAAATGTACCTATCTAATCTCTTAAACCACTCGATGCGTATGAATAAATGTGTGGACGACTGCCTCGTAGACGAGTACTGCCTCTACTATCATCATGTTTAAGCTTGTATTGGTTTCTGCTGCTCTCATGTATGTACGTGTGGCCTCAGGTATGTTAACAACACGTTTATAATTATTTATGCACGAACAGTCTGTTGGAAACGTTCATTTGTTGCCAGTTGAGCACCTACATAGGAACTTTAAAATAGTACCCTAGGGCTCTCAGGCTACAAGCCTTTAGAATTAACATAGATTACTTTTTAAATTTTTAATTCCCATTGTTAAGTCGGAACCTACACATAAACGCTATACCTAATCATCACTTCAAAATTAAATTGTTCGCTAGTGGAGGATCTTTTATCAGGACCTGCTGTATGCATTTGTAACCGAAACTGAAAAAGAATTTTCATGACCTTCAGTTTTAGGTTATATCTGCAACTGGTCTTGAAGTGAAAGAACAAATTCTAATTACATACAGTGAAGGTGTAGGGTTCATCCCCACCTTTTTTTCACATCTTTCTTTCTGTCCATATTTGTCTTTGTTAAGTGAGACTGTAGTAGGTATTCGGGCACACATAGGTGCCACAGGTAACCTCGTCTTTACTAATGCCACGACTACATGCACTTCAGTAGGTTGAAGGAATAACCATCGGTCTACAAATGATACCAAAGGTACCTTAAATTAGACGTTTACAGGCATAATTAATTTTAGTAGAATATAATATGTAAAAGAAGTCCAAGATGGATCCATATGGAACACAGTGAGTGGTAGTGGTGATATTCAGTCGATCAAAATCGCAGTGAACAAGGAATCTGATGGTTAATCGCTTTAAAAAAATCTAGCATCAACATGTTTGTCACCATAGCTATAAATCGGTTGCTGCATAGGTAGTGCCTTTATAGATAAGTATAATAAATAAGTCACTTGAGATATTATATGGGCAGATTAATAGATTCGAATTCGCAACTAAAGTTTGTTCTTTGAGATAAAAGAGATAAGTTAATAAGTTTACCAACCTGTATATGTTATTGTAATTTTTGATTCCCTGAAACGTATCAAATCTTAGGTAGCGAAAAATACAACTGCCATCGTTGTTATGCTCTTTCCGACAGTGACCCTCAAGGCGTTACCAACTGTCGTCACTTTGTTAATGTTACCGAAACTAGTAGTTGTTCAGGAGGTTGCATTTTTTATTATGGAGGTAAGTAGGTGATATCTTATCTAATACACGAACATCATCTACCTCTTTTTTAGTTATCGAAGGCCAACAAAAAGGAACAACCCAAGCTATAGCGGCGAGATTTTGTTCACCCGTTAAAAATTGTCGTTACTACATTGAGAAGGGCTGGGCAAATAAATACTGTCAGCAGTGCCAAAGCAACTATTGCAATACTGAGATATATTAACCAATAAGACTAGGTACGTATCTATTGTAAACATTTTTCTGTATTATTTACTACTATCACTAATTATATTATTGTTCATTTAATTATCCTGTAAACTACAGAATGATGAAAGAATTATGTTGTAATATACGTATTTACACCAACAACCATTGGAAGTCATTTTTGAGAAACATTATTCTTCTGCCATCGCCACCACAACTCCCGACTTTCCAAAGGTCTATAGATACGTGCTATCGCTGAAGTCAAAGCATGATCTTGGAATATCGGAAAATTACTAAAGCCAGGGAAATGTTTTTGGAAGCAAGATCTCCATAGCCATGTTTTAATGTTAAAATGCTATACATTCTTAAAGTTTTGAACGAGAATCTTTAGTTATTTCAAAGTTTGTAAGATTGTGAATGTATCGAAGGAAACACCATCTGCATTGTTTAAAATTTTGAAGGTTCTATAATTTAGAAAATCATGAAGATTTTACTGAAGATTCCGAACATTTTGAAAATCCTGAAGGTTGAATATTGTCGGTTTTAATGTAAGAATAATATCATCCAAAAGAATTTTCAAAAAGAAAGTATTTACGTCTTGCGCATTTCAGTATTTCTATTGGATTTAAAATAATACCAGATGCTCCTTTGAACTCAATCAAATAATACTTTTATTAAATATGTTTGTGACAAGTGACACTCCTGAATCTAACGTCGTTTAAATATCCCTTATAGTACGCCTTTTTTGCACGTTCGAAATTTTCAAATTCGACACCACCATAAATTTAAATTTGTTATAATTCATAGTACTCGACGAGCTCTTTAAAATGGTATACCTCTATTAGGTAACACATCTGGTTGTACTCTTGGAATATTTATTACCTCGCATTTTATTTTTGACGAAATCATACGGTGATAAATCAGCGGAATACAGATAATATTTAGTACTTACCTAATCAGGATTTGTCTTTGTAATCACGATAAGACACTAACTATTTTGAGATGTATCTAATCGTTAAACCTCTTGACACGTAGGTAGGTATAAAAGCATGTGCAGGCTGCCTCATAGACTAGTGCCTACTATCATCATGCATTTCAATCTTGTATTGGCTTCTGCTGTTCTCGTGTGTGTATGTGTTGTCTCAGGTATGCAACGACACGTTTATATTTTTATGTGTCTCTAAATTGGAAGCGTTCATTTGGTGCCAGTTTAGCACGTATCTACTTTAATATCTAGGTACTCGTACTTTAAGATCCGCAGGGTGAAAGCATTCAGAATTAACATAAATTGCTGTACTACCCATTTTAGGTCCGAACCTACACATGAGCGTCATCAATCATCATAACTTTAAAATTAAAAATTCAATCGAATTGTTTAAATTGTTCGCTTGTGGAGGTTCCTTTACCAAGATCTGCTGTTCGCAATTGTAGCCGATACTGAAAAAGAATTTTCATGGCCTTCAGTTTTAGGGTATATCTGCAACTGGTCTTGCAGTGCAAGAGCAAACTTGAATTACATAAAGTCGAGATGTAGATTCATCACCACCGCACACTCTTTTTTTCACATCGTTTTTTTCATCCCATCATTGTCTTTGTAACTTGGGACTGTAGTACGTATTCCGACACTTTGGCATGATTGTCACCAGTCCTAAATTGGATAATAATAATAATAATAATAATAATAGAGATTTATTGCCCAACAGAACAGACCTTCCAATTACAGGACAATACATAATAGTTAACGCGCAATGATTTAATGTAATAAGAAAAAAAAAAGAAAAAGAAAGAAACACAACAAAAAACTCAAAATCTTAACATAACTAAACAACAACAAAATAATTAAATTCATATTTAAAAAAAAAAAAAAACAAATTAAATTGTCGACAAACTGCAAGTAACTACGAAGCACTGCTGATATGATACTACATACGTGGCGCAGTTAGTCAGTTTTCATAATATCAGTAGTTAAAAGACTGTGATACAAAACGACAATAAACCACTTGACATATGATATGGGCAGATCGATATAGATTCTTATTTGCAATTTATTCTTGGAGTGGAGATAATCATAATTCATATAAATTCTTTATATTTTCCGGGCAACGCACGCATGATGTTTCCTGTTCTAAGATATTGACATAATATACTTATATATTATTTTAAATTTGATTTCCAATCGTAGGTTTTACCCCACTCCGCTGCCATTCTTGCTACGCTACGAGCGAGGAGAACCCTAAAGGCGTTGATGACTGTCGTCACCTTACTAGTAAAGTTAAGGAAACTAGCGAATGTTACGTAGGTTTAGAGGGAATATGCATATTTTATGTTGGGAGTAAGTAATATGTTATCTAATACACAATTATCATCTACCTCTTTTTAGGTTACACAGGAAAAAACAACAAGACCGAAAATGTAGTGGGGAGATATTGTGATTATAAAAATTGCGACAACTTAAAGAAATATGGTTACGCAAACACACACTGTCAGGAATGCAGAACCGGCTTTTGCAACACTGCCAAATATTGATCAATAGAACCAAGCCTCTATAAGGATTGTGCTGCATACTACTATTATTATTAACATTAATTGTTCTTTAATATTTTTGTTCTTTTTTCTTTGACATTGCCCTCTGAACTACAAAATGATATAATTATGTTATAATATACGTATTTACAGCAACAACCAAGTGGAAGTCTTGTTTGAGACACCTTTTAACCTAAAATAAATATCGACCCACAGATATTGCGCAAAACGTATATCTGTGTCAGATCTAAATCAGTTGATATACTTATATATACGTACAGTGCTTTGCACTTAAGTGGATTTAGTTAGTTTTCATCATATTTGTAACATAACAAAGTTCTTAGGAGACTGTGATACAATTTACAAAACAACAATAAACCACTTGATATATGATATGGGCAGATTAATAGATTATTCGCTTTATTCTTGGAGATAAGAGAGATAGACACGAGTTTACCAATCTGTACCCTTAACTCGCAAAACCGTTTATTTCAAATGAATCTTCTTCTGCTATAAGGTATTGAAATATATACACAGGTACTTATAGTTCCATCTTGAAATTAATCTTGAATTACTTTTCATTGCTCTAAAAAATTATTAAATATAGTCGATTCCAACACGGATATAGTAGATTGTTGAGTTCAGTAAAGAAAAGTGACAGTTTTCCAGCGAGTGAAAATCTTCACGAGTTGGAAAACCACTTTTCTTACGTGTGGAACATGCTATTTGTCGAAATCTATAAAAACGTTAACGTTGTGGTCGATCATGATAAAATGCCTCCTATCAATTATTCATGAAGACGTCAACATAAGTACATAAGCGTATTGCTTTTTTAAAACGTCAAAATGACAACTATGTTCCGAAGAAATTGAAAGTAGAACGCAGAACGTCACAAACTTTCTAACTGAGGTAGTGCCTTATTTTTATTACATGTCTTGTCAATTAACAATGTTGAAGACGCCGGGTCAGTTTTAGTGCAGGTAACGCCAAACGATACAAAGACAAACAAGTTAAAAAGTAATCGTAAACGATTTACATAAAGCGCATTTCCACTTGCATTCATTTCCCATCTGTGAGATGCAACTTCTGTTAAAATCGTAAAAATCCGGCCACAAATATGAAAGATAGCGTTGCACATGGGCAATCCATTTTTGACGTGCTACTTCAATTTCAGTTTATGAGAAGAATTTCATTTCAATGCTTTTTTAAATAAGAAAGTTGAAACTGCGCATGCGCAAACCTAAATTTTGAAACTAATGTTAGATTTTCCTTTGTTCCAAGCGCCTAAGTATCAAATTTCACTTAAATGATTCCATAGATAAAACAGTGACACTGCGCTGCCACGGCAATACAATCTCAGGGCGTACTATTTTCGTACGGATAATAATTACCTACTTCATTAATGGTTCGTGGCACTAAATATATTGAGGAAAAATTAGAGCTAAGGAGTTTTACCGACTAACGAGGAAAACTAAAAGAAAAGAAAATAGGACACCAAAGGAAAATTTTAATTCTTCGTAATATTTGCACAGATAAGGCAAACAACTAATCTATGCATCAAAATTCGTTCCTATAAATTGACTTTAGGAAAAACCGCACCTCTGGCCAGCTGATTGGTGAACAATGTGTATTTACATAAGTCTGAAGGACAATCGTTGTGCAGGTTATTACAATTAATCTTCTTATAATTATTAAGGATTGTTCTTAGGGACAACACAAACACACAAAAACTTAGCTGAGAGATGATGACTGGCGGTTGAGGAACGATGATGAACGGTGATGGAGATACCATGAAGAGGAGCTGAAGAAATTGAACCCGACGTTGGTGATTAGATTTTATGATTTCTTGCCAACAGTAGGATATCCACTGATGTACAGTACACAAAAAAACCCTATATAAAACGAATTAATGTAATCTAGACTGTAAGAGCGCATACTTCACTTTTGACTTGACAATGCTTACCTGTAGGGACAGGGTTTTTGCTATAAGATTTTTGACTTTTATTGATTATTGAATAGATCTTCTTAAATTTTTCAGTAGGTGAATGCTTTAAATCCCCAAACTGGGCTGGATAAAACTAGATAACTATGCTTCGAACGGCAACCAGAAATCCAGAGCAAAAATGCCAAATCAATCCCTTTTAAAGGTTTTCAACACAATAATTTTCTTTGGCCACTTTCGGAGCGTTAGTCAACGGTGCCTTCAAAATCGAATATCAAAAATACAATTGAATGAAATTTTATTGTTAAGCGAGAAAGCGCATTCACGATAACGCATGCGTATTGGTTAACATATTTAAATATTAATGTTATTTACCATTAGCGTCCCTACAGTATGGGCTAAGGTGTTTTTTAAAAAAAGGATGGACTGTTACAGCGCATGCGCAAAATAAAATTTTAAAACTGGCGCTAGATTTTCCTTTATTCCAAGTGCCTATGTATCACATTTCATTTAAATTCTTCCATAAATAAAAAAGTTGGCACTGCGCATGCTGAGTGCAGTCGTGAGTCGCAGTCTGGACAATACACGATTCCGCCCCCGCCGGCATTTTGTATTTTATTCAATTTTACTTTCAGGTGGTTTGTGGTTAGGTCTATTTAATTCGATTATTATGTAAACCTAATGAAATAAAAAAAAAACAATTGAGCAGTGTGTTTAGGTGGGGGAGATCGCGCCTGTCGCCCCCCCCCCTAAAAACCGCCCCTGGCTACAATAAGCCAAGATAGTCTCCAAATATAAGCAAAATCGACTTCGACGCACATTTAATCAACGTTATAAAATCCATTTGTAACAAATAAACCATAGAGTAAAATAATTACCAACTCTATATGCTTCCACCTGCTTTGCATGATACAATAAAAGCTTTAAACACTAAAAATTGTAGCCTAATTTAATAAAATCGAAAATAATATCTCTAACTCGTGAATTATAAACTTCTATATTTTTTGGTTCATAATTAAGTTTATCCATAACATGTTCATTGCTAGAAATATTGTGTATATCGGGTATTTCTTCTGTGTCACTGATTAGAATTAGCAATACTATTACGGCCATGCACAGTCCATAAACACAATACTTCTTCAAATGCTCTTGCAGAACATCAAATGGAAATAATTTATCTGCATCGCTGCCTAACTCTTTCAAAAATGAACGAAAACTTTTGTAATACTCTTGAATTAGACTGTTGTACTTCTCATCTCGGAGTTCTTTGGATGTACACGTAAATAAGAAATAGCCCAAATCTAGGGCTGGTGACCCTAAACGTGCCAACTGCCAGTCCAAAATGCACATTTCTAACGGGACTCTGTTAGTATCCTAAAAAAGTTTTCATTTTTAATTAATCTCTAATCTCTAATGGCAAGTACAGACACTATCATGATGAATGTTGCTTGATTTCCAGTCTTTCATGATTTGTGATGGGAATTTGTGAAAGCTTAAAAAGATGCTAAATTGTACTTACATCATATTTAAATAAAAAATTGTTAATCCAGCAATCACCGTGCCCAATCACAGAATATGGATCTGAAAGGTCAGATTTAACAGCCGCATTAATAACATCGGTCATATTATTTTGAAATTTTTTAAATTTTTCATGCGCAAATTTGTGCGTAATTGGGTGTAACGCATTGAGAGCTCTCTCACTCTGAGATTGAAAGCTGTTGTGTAATTCAGTACTATTCATTCCATTAAAAAAATTCTCTTGGGTCTCCTCTGCTAGTTCTGCAAATATTTTTGGCTCTTGATCTCGTAATGCAAAGGATAAAGCGTGAAATTTTCCGTACTCTCGTAATACTAATAGTGTATGATTGTAATCCAATGGTCGGTGACGATCATGTAATTTGAATCCATACTCCTTCATGTCTTCCATAATTAACGCTTCGTTCATATCTGCCACAGACGAATCGTAATACTTCGCATATGATCTAAATGGATTCTGGATGCCTCTGTCGTTTTGCAATTTTAAAAATGCTGGAAGCACTTTACTGTAGATGTATATCTCGCGTTCGTAGGCTGCGTGAACTGGAGCAAACATTCTAAAGTTTTCATTGCGAGGTGCACTCTTGACTATAAAATTCTGTATAACATGTTCACCTGTTGCCGTTTCACCTGTAACTTGCACCTTTGCAATCACCCCTAAAAAGTTGTCGCCCTTTATGGTCCCTGCTGATATGTTAATGATATAATTTCGCGTTCCCAATTTTTTTAATAATTCTTCTAAATTCAAAACCACTTCGTTTGTAACTAGTACGTCAGTTTGTGTCATCTTGGTCGATTTAGACTACATACGATTTGCATTTGTTGCTGGCATTTATCTGCTCATAAAAATGCTGTGTAACTATATCTAATGTTAAGGTTTACATTTAAAATTGTGCACCATTACATAATATGAAAATAAAAAATTTTAATAATCTAGAATTAGCCCCAAATTAAAAAGATTTATGTTTTTTTCATTTTGGATAGGAATAGTGCGTAGTTCTACCAAATTATACGCCAGACTCGCGTGAGTAGAGCACCATAGAGCATCTGCAAAGCAGTGATGACATGCAAATATAGATACATAACAATTAAGGCATAAAATCCTTGCGTGTTTAAGTGCACACAATATGACGATTCATCGTTCTATATTTCGAACAGTCATACTGTTATATAACGCATTATAAAGAGACATAAAAATGCTACACGTAACACTAATGAACTACCCTGGAAAGCAGTGGCGTAACTTCATTTTAGAGGCCCGTCTTCAAAAATATTTGGGGGCCCTTTGCTTATATCAGCAATTTAAACGATGTTAACTTGTATATGTAGGAAATAGTGTTTTGATTTAGCTTTGCTGATTTTGCATTTTGGAATTCATTGTCCACAGGTCCATTGTAAAATTTAACGTCACTGCGTGCAATCAGAATCCAGTTGATTTTGTTCCAACTTTAATTGTCAAGCTTTGTGTAATATTTGTGCCATAACAAAGGTAATAATGTACTTAATTTTATTTGAATTCAGCTAGGGGTAGGTAATTGGGTTGCTTTAGCCCCATGACCCAAATCAAACACTTCCTCGATATTTTACCAGTCCTCTCCAAACCCTCTCTCAATTTAATTGACACGTCGTTCGAGTTCATCTTCCCCCACCCCTCTCAGAGACTGCCTATTTTGCACATGCTTAAGACCAGATGCATGTGGGGTGACACAAAGGACACATAAGCTGAGACAATTTAAGTCATAGTCAGTGCAAAAATGGCCTCCCATTTACAAAGGAGGACAAAATTATTTTTATAGAAAGACAAAACCTGTGCCAGCAGTCTTCTAAGCGGGTGATTAAGGATAAAGACGAATACGCAAAACCTGCTCCACTACACTACTTAACCTCCATCCCCCAAAAGTGTTGAACAGACGAGCACCCTTACGGTCTCAAATTTAGGCTAAAAATGTCCTTCAAATATCCCTTTTTTTTTGTAAAGGAAGTACCTACATACTTTCACAGCTGGGAAGTAACTAAAACTTAAGTTACTTTTAAGTAACTAAGTTACCTGCAGACCCTGCAGTAACTAAGTTACTGTAACTTAGTTACTTTTGAAATAACACTAAAAGTAACTTGTAACTTAGTTACTTTCTAAAAGTAACTTATAACTTTTCCATATTCAGAGGAACTTAGTTACTTATAAAGTAACTAAGTTAATTTCTGGTAACTAAGTTACCTAAAAAGAACTTAGTTACCTATTGAAAAGTTACTTTCTATTTATTATAAAAAAATTGCAACTCGCCATTTGCCTTGTTAGTTGTAAACGTGAGACTATTGTGTTTGTGAACGAAGTAATATGAAAATAAAACTTTTGGTTATTCAGTATTCAGCTGGTTCTTATTATTTGTTGAAATTCGAAGCAAGCAACTCGAAAGTATCTTTTTAAAAAAACTTTTTTAAAAGTAACTTAGTTACTAGTAACTGTAACTAAATTACTTTTGTTTCTAAGTATCTACTATAGTTACTCAAGTAACTTAAGTTACTTTTTGGAAAGTAACTATGAAAAGTAACTTAGTTACTTTATCAAAGTAACTTTCCCAGCTCAGCATACTTTGTTAGCTGGTGCGCGATCCTAACCACCTATTTAAAAAAAAATTCCAAACTCTCCTATAGTTCAATTGGCCTATAGAGCTGAGGTTGGGCCAAGGAATTTTTACTCTTTGATTGGACTTAAAATTGTAACATATTCAAATCTCTTTTAAAATGGATTCGACATCAATTACCGCAAACTGCATAGTTTAAGTGAAATAAAGGTGGGTTCATACGTTTCCTAGCCAATCAGAAGATAGCAAATTTTTAAATCCTACGGCGCCGGTTTACGACGGAAAAGTTGTAGTTGAACTACGTTTCCGTTGTCATTTTTCAAACCGCATCCCTATAGACTATGAAAGGAAGGGTCCAGTAATACCCAGTCAATCGCAGGCTGCGCGTTGAAACAAATTTTCGCAAAGCTTGGTGAAAGCGAAGCATTTTTACTTCTTGTTTATGCTGTGCAGGTGCTGGCATTTTCGGCCGTAAATGAGTTATGGTCAATGATCATTGAATCATTCTCGAATGTTAGCTCAATCACTTGTTCAATGACTTATTACTACACAACTATAACATTCACTATGCGTAGAATAAAATTAACGTTACTCCCTTACAAATATTTTTAAATATTGATCCCAGCGAAAAAGTGTATAGAACCTTTTGTATGGAGAATTTTATGTAGCTTTCTTAAGCATCAAAAATTTTTTCTATGGGCCACCGTTTTCGAGTTATTTAATTTAATGTAAAGGCAATGTTTAACTACCTACTTACCCATTGTAAGGCAACGGTGTTTTGCGAACGCCAATCGCCTATATTTCCACTCATGCCGAGACATTCTTCACTTACTTACGTATTGCAGTTCGCTTTATTATTGTACATAGTGTTTGTAAGGATAGAAAGTGATTGTAATTTTCTTTTAGCACCTGGCGGTGATTCATTTGACATTGAGTTAGTACTCACATACGATTATAAAGTTTCCTACAAATGCGAAGTATATCTTTGCGAGTGAATATTTACTTTAGTGGATCGTTCCGCCTCAACCCTCCAATTACTAAATGTATTCTCTTAGGTACAGTAGAGGCGATATTAAAATTAGAACCATTAACCTTTAATAAAGATTATTGAGGTCAGAAGAGGGTGATTAACCGACGAGCAGCCGCGGCATATTAATATATTTACATCACCACACACAATTTTATCAACCAGAAGAAGTAACCTAGGAGAAAAGGAAAGTTTGTAACAATCCGTTATAATGGGGTCGCCATATTTTTAAAAAGGTAACCTAATGCTGTTGGACCGGGAATAATATAACCTTCCATTTCATAAAAATGCAAATAAATAACTGATTAGGATAGATTGCTAACGCCTGTTTGAACCTGTAGGCTATTTCACATGTTGTATCAAAGGAAAAGTAGAAACCTATAGTTTTCCAATTCCTCTTGTAGTGTTTTCTTGATTAATGTATCTACAATATTTGGTGATATACCTAACACCATCAATTTTAAAGCAAGCTAAGCTACCACCCCCCGCGTCTCCATCCATCTGCTCTCTGGTAGTAGGCCGTGATTAAAAAACCAAAAAATTAATAGCTTTCCATGCAGAGGTTAAAAAGTGACATCGAAACAACTAAAAATATACAGGGTGTTTCATTTTAAAAAAATTAGTTGTCTATACCGTAAAAATGGGATACCCTGTGCATTCAAAAATAATTTCTGTAGATGGCAATAACCATCTATGGTTGACATTTTACCAAAAGGTTTTGATATTTTTTACCAGGTATGAGCGAGGAAAGACCGACGCACTGTTGCAGGACCCTGTGTATAAGCGCTACTTTTTTTCAAAAACGCACTAAAAATTGGACTCTAGTTAATAGCAAATAAAATAAGTTACTTTTCCAGTGATTCTAACATGTGCACTGTATACGAAGTGCTGTTTTTGCAGATTTCGTATAACAAGTGCTGCTTTTTGTGTTTTTCCTAAAAAGGTATTTTAAACCCTCTTTAATGCAAGATATGACAATACTTGCCATTCCTTAAGAAAAATTGTAGCCTACGTACCAGCGATGGAAAGACTTACCTTTACTTGTTCCTGTAAGTCGAGAACTTCTCGACCTTCCTTGAGGGCGGAGCCTTTGGTGACTTTATCTTCCTGTCATGCGTTTCTTGTTTAAAAACCCGGTCGAGTGTGATAAGTCCTGTTTAACACTGCTTCTACTTCCTGAAGGACTCCGAAAAAGGCTGGTTGTTAGTCGGTCTCAAGTCTTTTCCTGGTTTTTCAAGCTGTTTTGCCAATTTAATTTTTTCGAGGTCTGTAGTAAAGAGGAAGTCCTCAGGTGGACAGCTATTTGCTATTTCCGAGATAGTTTTGCTCATTAGAGGCTTATCTTCTAACTTGGGATAGGTATATGTTATTAAAAAGGTTTGAAAGGATTTTACCTGCGTCGACTATTTCTTTAGTCAAGCTGGGCAGGTTTTTATCTCCGTCGAAGATTTTTTCAAGAGCGACTCCTATATGGCACATAAACCCGCTACTCAATTATTCTTGGTAGCGCATGTGCGTTGTGTCTCTAGAGTTGTTTCATTGTGTGGAACGCTCTCGCTCATAATCGTCTTAATTTCAGGATAGGAATAGTTTTGTAACAGAAAAGAATTTTCTTCTTTTCCTAATCCATTATAAATTATATGGAACCATCTCCCTCTGCAACTTCAGACTGTAAGGCGAAGGTTTTACCCAGGGCCGTGCGAAGGTTAACGCCCGCCCGGGGCAGAATCTAATTTTGGCGCCCCTCCGAATATAAAATTATGAGGTTGGACAAGGAAAGGCTATAGGAATAATAAAAGTAATTTTTATTTTTCCATAATAAATATAGGTAGGTACATATTATTATATGTACATGTTTATATAATTCGAGGTAAATCTTTCACTCACGCCTTTGTACGTTCCTGACGCGGGATCAGAGAGCAAATGGATGGAGATGCTAGGGTATTAGCTTAGCTTGCTTTAAAATCGGTAGTGTTAGGTATCCTTATATGGCATACTGACTGTGTATACCACAAAGTGATACCGAGACCCGAACACTGAAGTATAATGTCCACCTTGTTAGTAAAAGATCACAACATAGATAACCTGTTAGTAATAGCTACGGAAACATTTTTTTTGTAATTGGTCAATAGAAGTCGTTGATAGTATCCTACCTGCAATGCAGCACTGTCTGTATGGTTGCCTACATACGTATTTTCTTCCATTGATTGATTACATGATATTGTGTAAACATACTTAGTGATGACGTCATAATACACCGATGACGTGCGCGCAAAATAGGTTCGGGCCCGGATATTTGTGAATGTAGAGTGGGTTGGGTTGGTAGAACCTTGGCTGAAACCACGCCCACTTCAAGACAAAAAAAAGCGCCAAAGATGCAATGCGTTTCTCTATTGTTTCGCTAACCGTGGTTCAAATCAGTTCTGAAATAATTACTATCTATTTGACTACCAAACTGTAAGCAATTTGGGAAAAACAAAAAGGTCTTGGCCGAGACCCATTTCAAAATTGTGAACTGAGAAAAGTTCTATCTCTAAAAATTTTAAGTTTATTGCACACCTAAAGTACAATTCAGCAGTCCGTACCACAACACAAAAGTTTTCAAAGAGATGACTCAAAGAATGCAATCTCTACATCCGGATGTTAATGTTCGATAGTTGGTCATTTTAAATAATTACTGGTTTCATATTCAGTATTTTCCACTTCAAAATTCATTTCTTCATCATTTTCGTCAGGTACGTGTGTGTCTTGTTGAAACTGATTAGCTCCCTATTTATACGACAAAATGTTAACTCAAATAATTTACGCGGATAGGTATTTACCTCGGCTTCCTTTAAGGCGGCTAGTTCTGCTTTCTTTGTCCTCTGGAAAAATCCCGCCTAAAATAGACCAGCACAAATATATCAAAATATCCTTAGGAATCTAATACCTTGACGAGAGCCATAGTTAGAAGAAGCAGTAGTAACAAACCCGCAATGGCAGCTGCAACAATGATCCATGTATCCACAGATTCTTTAGTGGTTTCGCCAATAAAAGTACTAGTGACATGTGCAGTATCTGGTCTACGAAAACTGTTGTTAAAATAGCATTAATTACATGTACTACACACTTACCTTATACCACTTTGCTCAAAATTTTTAGGATTTCTAATTGTGAGTTCTCCATCAGTTGTAAACAGAATGATATCCTTTTTTCCCAAAATTTCTACAATGTCTCGTTTAAATATTGAATACCAAAAAGGCGATACCTGATATAGAGGATACATTGATAAACATTTTTAATTGCAGTGCGGTTGTGGCCTGCTGTTTTCCTTTAAAAGGTCCGATGGTGCAACTGACTCTTGCACATATATACTCCAAATCTGGATGAGAACAGTTAATAAACAACGTCCGATTGAGGGGGTATGCTGTGATGTCGAATTCTACATCACGTTGTTTTCGCAATAAAGGTGGATTTGACGCAAAAAATTGATTAGTATTATCGACAATTAAATTTTCGGCATTTGCGCTTTCTGTTGTTGTAGTGATATATGATTCATCCGATTCTTTACCATCTTCAATGTCAAGTTCGGAAGAGAACTGATCCATTACATTTTCAACGATATAATGAACATTGCTGCTGCAAATTATTGGTTGATTAGCATGATACCCTTCTGGTGCATACAACTGCACCATTCTAATAAGATTTCCCTTGTACATAACGTGAGTTGGAATTTTTATTTCCAATAAAATTTCGTCGATTGTGCTTACACCAAATTTTTCTATCTGTAAGCATTATAGTTATTAAGATGTAATTGCTATTGGATTACATACCTGATATGTTTGCGTGAAATTGGAGGTGCCGTGCGTGCTGTTACTGTATGTGAAACTTTGTTCACCCGATTTGCTATAAAGTAACGGTAAAAAATTACAAGTATACCTTTACCTATACTCACCCTGTCAAATGCATATCAGCTTCACGGGTGGTATACAACCTTTCTTTGAAGATATTATTGTTCATATTTTCACTACTTGTTAAAAGTATGAACTGAAAATCCAGTGGATCCCCATAGTTTGAGGAGATTAATTCTTTCATATCCAGATCTAACATTATCAGTTTCTAAAAAAATCTTTAATTGTTTTCAAATGAATTGTACGTAAGCTTACCCATTTCTTTTCATACAGAGGGTTATCTACGTTGCATATAATAGACCCAGACGAGTTTCCTTCTAAACAATTAATTGGAATACTTCTAAAATGAACTAGCCTTGGTAATTCGACGATTAATTGCGTTAAATATGCCTTGTCTCCCTCATTGCTAATGTTCACTTTCAATTTGAGATAGTCAGTCGAACCTAATACATATTTATTTTGCGAACTGTAACAATTAACCTGAACAACTTCCGGAAGTATGCTGCATACTTACTTAATATTAAGGAAGGTAGCTTTAAGATTTAGTTTCGTTCTACATATATTATCCGCGCCACAACCGAGGACAAATGACAGTTCCAATTTTTGCTCTTTTACGGAACGAATTGGATTGAGGATTGCGCAGTCTTTGCAAAACTTATCTTGTGGAACACTTTCATTTTGTTGTACATATATCACTTCTCGCTTAGTTTTGGCGATAATTAACTCTTGAGACACAGTTACAGTAATTGGATCGTAACGATTAGTCAAGTCTTTCTGAAAATGAGCGATATAGCTAACTAATGTCAAAGATGATATAAGTACCTGGATTAAAAAAGTAATATTTTCGCAAACAATATCGTCAACTTTCAGCGTCAGAGGTTTCACACTTGGAGTTTGTGGTGGTAACATTGCTCGTTGAAATAATTCATCTACAACCACCTTTCGTGTTACAGCTAAAAGCGTAAGTAATGAATCAAGTTTTGGGTACAGTTCAAATACGAACATATGGTAGGAGGAATAAAAAATCCAGTATACCAAAAGCAGGATTTTATACTAAAAAACTCAGCATTGTGCTCCAAACGAGGAGTCAGAGAAATAACAGACAGCTGTAACGTAACAACAGGTTTACTTCGTATAAGGACCACATGTCCGGACAAGTATGCACCAACTGCCAAATCTGCAACAAAATTAATAAGGCGTAAAACTAACGTGCAATGGTTACCATTATATTTATTCATATCCACGTCTGTCGGTTTTGAAATGCTAATTCCAAACCCAAGAATGTTCGGTACAAAATCTTTACCCGCTATACGTTGAGAGGGACTACTGCTGAGCCCATAAGAGTTACCACGATATATATAAATCGCTCCACTTCCTTCATTCTCATACGGTGCTCCAACAGCAATGTCTGTCAATGGAAATTAAAACACCAAATATAGTAATAAGATACCTACCAGAATATCCGTCACGATGAATATCGCCTAAAAACATTATACAACTACCAAATTGGCCCCCAATACCTTTTCCTTCAATAAATTCAATCTGCGGAGTTTCTAGACTCCCCTAAAAATAACGGTCCTGTCACAAAGATGATATACGACCATTACACATACCTTGCCACTTCCTAAAAACACAAAAATGCGTCCTTCGTTATACTTCGTGCTGGTATAAAAAGGAGCGCCGATAATCAGATCATCATAGCCATCCTCATTAATATCGCCGGCGCATAAAGTAGCTCCGAAATATTCGCCATATTGGTAACCTTGCTTTGAGTCCTTTACGTCCAATGCTTGATCAGAAGCATTTAAAAATTGATACACAAGTATCTGCAATAGATTGCAGACACTTTAGTTACATTTTGCAATCACTTATACCTATATTGCTAACTGCTAGTGTTATTAATGTAGTACTTAACTGTAATTATTCCGCTACTAGTTACCTTAAAATATTTATTGTACTTGTACAGTAACTTGGTTACTGTGCAGTTGAGCTATGTATGGGTCGTTAATCTTGTTGGTGACTGTAAGTCCATCGATGAATTTACAAGGGTGGTATAGTACAGTTTTTCGAATTTGTATTTTGTTCAACATAGAAAAGTGTACACATGTACCGCTTAATAGCGAACATGAACAAAAGTACCACACATACGAGGAGCGACCCAAAAATAACGGGAATTGGGCTGGAGGGGGAGGGAGAGTGGAGAACCAATATTGTTCGATCAGGTGTCCGTCAGTCAGTGCGCATAGTTTGCGTCGCTATGAGTGCGTCGGTTCGCCCGTGAGAATTTTTTGAGTAAAACAACTTTTTCTATTTCGCCGAAAACGTGATGGCAGATTGTCGAGAGCAACGCGCGGCTGTAAAATTTTGTTTCCTGTTGGGGAAATCGGCCGCGGAAACTATTGTAATGCTTAATACTGCTTATGGGGATGCTTCCCTGAGTAAAACCAGAGTCTACGAGTGGTTTTCACGTTTTAAAAATGGGGAAATGACAATTGAAGACCAACCTCGTTCTGGACGCCCGAAATGACGAAAACGTTGACAAAATCAATGCTCTTGTTCGTGAAGACCGTCGCCGAACCATTGATCAACTCTGTGAGATGTCTAGAATATCATGGAGTTCAGAGAGGATTTTATCCGAAAATTTGCACATGAGAAGGGTTGCAGCCAAATTTGTCCCTCGCGTTCTCACAGACGAGCAAAGGGAGCGTCGACTTCAGGCATGTTTGGAGCTTCAAAATCAGCTCAAAGAAGCCCCGAATTTTTTTCCAAGGTGATTACTGATGACGAATCGTGGTGCAACGGGTACGATCCCGAAACAAAGCAGCAATCGAGTCAGTGGAAGACAGCTGACTCTCCACGTCCCAAAAAAGCTCGCCAAGTGAAATCAAACATCAAGACAATGCTGATTTGTTTCTTCGATTGCAGAGGTGTTGTGCACGCGGAGTTCGTTCCCCCGAGCCAAACTGTTAACCAGAAGTTCTACTTGGAAGTTTTGAAAAGATTGAGGGCGAGTATCCGGAAGAAAAGGGGAGAGGGAAACACGCGACTGGTTTTTCCATCATGACAACGCGCCGGCCCACACCGCCCTCTCCGTAAGGCAGTTTTTGACCAAAAACGGCATGGCACTGATTGTCCACCCTCTCTACTCACCGGATCTAGCCCTCTGTGATTTTTTTGTCCCCAGACTAAAAAGAGGCATGAGAGGAAAGCGTTTATCGAATCCACTGTGGATGAGTTAAAACAAAAATCGCTAGAAGGCCTAAAAGACATCCCGATAAGTGAATTTAAAAAATGCATTGAACAATGGAAGGATCGTTTGAATAAGTGCGTTGTAGTCAATGGGGAGTACTTTGAAGATGATAAAAATTTGGTATAAAAATATTAAGAAATAAATAAATTATGATGAAATTCCCGTTTCTTTTGGGCCCCCCCTCGTACATTATCCATAAAGGTATGCATTTTTTAAATATGCGAAGAGAAGTATAGAATTCTAAGTGTGTTAGACGAGGAAAAACTTTCAAAGGGCTACCACGTGCTATTTCTGTGTGATTTTTAGAAATTTACTTAAATAACTTTGTTTGAAGTAATTTTAATATTCCTAAAGAAATCGACCCGTAAAAATTACTTGCATGAAACCGATTTGTATTACATTTATGAATAAGAATCGAATCCAAACAAAGGATTTTGGTTATTTTGGTTCGTTGATTAGAATGTGGCCTTTAATTTCAGTGCTTCCTTTGGTTGGCTTAAAATTTCGTTTAGTATTCAAAGGTGGGTGTATATTTTTAAACAGAAGAATAAACCAGTAATTCATTATGTGGTAAAGATGAATTTTACAAGGATCAAATTTAGCATAATCACGAAATAGGCATTTCATTTTTTTTCTATTTTATGAACCAAATCGTTGTTTTGTATCCAGGAACATGTAAGGAAAGTAACTGATCGCGTTTGTTTTAATTATATATTCAGTTCACTAAGTAATATACGTATTTATTCGAATTCGATCAAACTACAGCGTTAGATTTATTGCATTTCAGGTCAAACTTCCGCAAAGTAAAGGGTATAAAAAACATTTTTATTACTGAGAACATGAAACATGTATATAAGAATATTTCAATTTATTAAGTGTACATCTCGGGGACTACACGAATAAGCACAAGGTTGGTTTATTTTTCTTGAATTTGTGTATTATTTTTTTGTTTAAAGTTATCGCTTTTGTAAATTGTTTTATTTTTGTAAAACGTGAAATTGTGTGTTAGTGTAGAGACATCTGGCCAATTTGTGCACGTTATAAAAATTGTGTTTGCGATAAGAACTTTTTATTAGTTGAAGATGTAGTTTGTCATTATATATAATATAATAATTTTTAATTTTTAATAAGATAATAATTTTGTGAAAAAACAAGGTAAGTGAAGTTGAGAAGTTTGTAGTGGTTTGTCCACTTTATGACAAAAGTCTGTCAAGTTTAAAGAGGCAAGTAGTCCTGTGAAGTCTCAAGGTTGTCTTGTGAATTAAAAGTTTAAAGTTTGTTAGTCATTTTATTCATCGAGTTAATGTTGTTGCCATCAAAATTTATGTGGTAAAGAAAAGTGAAGTTCAGAAGCTGTCAGCGTTTGTGTGTGCGCCTTGTTATCGCAAATCTTTTGTAACACCAGTTTATTATAGAATTATCAAAAGAGAAAAAAAAAATTTTAAGATTTTCTTATTTTCATGTGTTTTTTCGGAATAATAATAATAATAATTCCGTTATTAAATTGGCGAAAGAAGAAAAATAAATTTTTGTCTTTGTAATAATCAATTGATTGTGTGATTATTCGAACCCATATTGCGACTCCAATAAAGTGTTCGTGTCAAATTTACCTTTTGTATAAAAGATTTGTTGATCAAAATTTTTGTAATAAACTCTTTACATTCCTTGGAAGTTCATCCGAGTCTCCCAAATCATTAATTCTGTGTAGCAGATGCAGTTTTGTTTTGATTTGTTAGAGGTAGCTGGATAAGTGTTTTGTGGGTGGTGTAGTTGAACGCATACCCTTGCACACAGCATTATTTATTGGCGTCCAACGTGGGGCCATAGAATTATTGATTCAAAATTTATAAGACGCCATGGAAAAAATTCCCAAGAAATAGTTTCATTATTTTATTAATATCATTAAAATAGTAAACAGTAGGTGTCAGTTGGATATTAAAAATAATGGCATTATAGTTTAGTATTTGTAATATCTATGGTCTAGTAGATATTTGCAAAATTTGTCCTTACAAAAAATATTCAGTTATTATAACATACCTGACCCACTAAATTTCGAGAACGAGGAGCTCCTGCTACATATAGAAGTTCGGTAGAGTTAAAGAAATAGCCGGAAGTAACAGAATATCCAAATAAGCCAAATGCCGCAGTTTGAGTTGTTGTCATTGCATTGGCAATATTCAGATCTGAGAAATCCGAATAACCGATCTCTCGTTTGGTAAAAGTGTTGGGTAAAATTTGGAGTTTACTGGCTACTGGCGCGCTATCGGGTCCATCTCGGTACAATAGTGTGGTTCCGTCCCAATTATACACACCGGGAGCACCTAGAAGCAACTCCGCCTCCTGCTAAAAAAAAGCTTGTATTTTCATTTATTTAGCAAATTTACATACAGGATTTTTTGTGAAATGAGCAGACATCCCCGCCTGCCCCTGCCCATAGTAGTACACATTAACTTTTGCCGTTCGATCGAAAACTATCCCTTTTCCTAATTAAATAATAGTCATAGTTTCGTTCGTTTATTTGTCTACTTACCATTATCCAATAATGGTACAAGTTTATCGTACAACGTCTCATTATTGCTGGGGGCCCAATAGCAGGCACCTAGCATCCAGTAGTCCTGTATTCGATCATTCACCCAACGATGGGAGCAGACCTAAACAAATGACATTACTACAGCTGACCACAATGCATGGAATACGTACCACAATACGATTGGAATTATGATCAATATCCATAGCACCACCAATCCATGCTTTATCTTTCTTATCACGAAATGAGCCACGAAATGTAGCGCCAATCCCTGTCTCTAAGATTACAAATTAAACCAAATTGGCTCTTAAGGGGTTTGGCTACTTACGAGTGTCAACATCAATCAATGAGCAGGGTCCATAAATGTCACATTTAAATATAACACCTGGTTCAAATGCATTGATCTCTGAACTATTCCCTCTTGGTGATCCGACTTGCACCCTTAACAAATTGTATATCATATCATAATCTTCCACAACCCATTCTTACCAACTGGGCGATCCATGTAATACAACAGAATATCCAAAATACGCAGCTCTTTGCTGATTTTGTAGAGGATTGACATACACAATAGGGTAATCGGTATCAAAATTAAAACTTACAACGAACATTAAATTTAAAATCAAAGATAAAGCAGTAAAAGAAAACATTTTAATTTCAATATTACTGCCGTCTTATACATACTGATGCATGTGTTAATTTAAAAGTAAGGTTTTGGTAAACCACTGCTTCCTGTGCCGTATCAGTTTGCATGTTGAAACAGGAAATGTGCTAAAAATATTATAGTGTCATCATAATTTGCCGAAAATTGCAAATTAGGCAATGTCAATGAATGAATTAAATTCAGACTCTCATTTAAATTACTACACACAAAGTACGTAATCTACATGAGCATAAATACAAAAATTGCTGTCACTGAATTTATCACAGAATGGAAGTAGGTTATTTGATTTCTAATATTGTCACGAAATTTGTTTTAAACAAAGTGTATAAATAGAATACTAACAACAGCATTATGCATAATGAATACAAAATAGTCTGGACATCCGTTTGAATAACACGATGTTTTCCTTCACCTGACTACTTTGTGAAACAGTAGAATATGGTCGTGAGTTAATAAGTAGTAACTCTAAGGCAGAACTGAAAGATATTTCCACGAAAATTAATAGTTTTGGTGGAGTCGGTTAATATCGCCCAGTACGTACATCAAATGCTGTCATCAAACAATTGAGAATTCGCTTAAAAAGTAAAAAATTTGTAACAATTATGTAGCAATATATTTTGTTCATAATTTTTTGTCAAAGATCATTTATTTTTTATGCCAGGAGAGAGTATTCACTTTTATTTTTCATCTTGTTCAACATTTGTGAGTTTTATCAACTAACTTTTGTTTGAAGCGATGTCAGATTTTCCACTGCTAGTGCATAAGGCAGGGGTACCAATTCACCTAGTCTTAAACTACCCGTTACTAGGTAAATGAAATGTTGAGGCCTTCTACCATACATCCATGGCTACAGTAAATACAAATTTCTCTATCTCTGTTGATATATTGACTCATTTTTTTAAAAACCCACCACTACTGACACCTTTTTGGACGCTTGACCCAAGTTATCATTGGAGGTGGTGAAAAATAAAGGGTACTTATATCTTCATTTTAACTGTCACTGCAAACTTGCCGCAAATGGTGCTGGCAGACTAGACAAGAAAACCACAGTAACCTAGTATATTTCATAAAGAACCATTTTATTGTCAAATACCTCCACAAGTCGAAATCAAAATTACAGGCAATTATCAATGATAGCATCACATTAAAAACAAAATTATGTGCAACAACATAATTTTGATTGTTTTGCGTTGCGCGTGTTTGTTTTTGACATATAACTTAAATAATCTAGCAACAACAGCAATGGTAAAATTGACGGTAAAATAAAAAAGTAGATATGTGCAACAGGAAAATATATTAAAATTAATTAGAATCAGAATCAGCGTAAATCTTTTTTCTTATATTAAGTCTAGCCTTTTTATCTCGCTTTCTAAATTGTTCATAGGGATAATCAGAATCGTCTGAAGTGTGATCGTTACAGTGGCCCATTAGAGATCTACTCGAACAAGGGCGGTGGATCTTGGAATTGTATTTTGTGTAACCACTTGAGCAAGAACCGGTTGCAAAACCACTATCGGGTGTACTAATTACAGTATTTAGAACTTTCTTAACAGGTGTACAGTCATATTCGCACTCACTACTATCACTAGCATTAATGAAGGAGTCCTGATTCACATGAGCGTCACTATTTACATATACGTCATCGCAAACGTCACCAGGTATAAACTTATCTCCACGTAAACCATTCGTACAAACGGTATGGGCTATGTTGTTTTTTCCATTGCTTAAGGTAGATGTAGAAGGAACTTCAACATTAGCGTAATCGTTCCTTAAAGCCACCACATTGCCATTATTGCCACGATTTGTTATATCTATAGCTCTCAGGCACATGTCGTGACTTCCATTTAACGGTGTTGGTAAAATAGTAACAAAATTTTCCTCGGAGTGGGTTCCCTCCTCGTAGCATCTATTTCCAAGGGCTTCTTCATCTGAATCTTGTTCAACGAGACGATACACCGTGCTTGAACTGGTAATGCCAGTACTTGTGCTAGGAGCATCTATAGAACTATTTGAAACACTATTTTCCGAAATATCTTGGAAACTTTGCCTGGTTTTACATTTTTTCGATCTAGTAATTTTCTCAGATTTATCTACGTGTAATTTGTGTTTTCTATTTTCTCTATCGATGTATAAAGGAACTTTAAGGGGATGATTCTTTTTCAAAGATGTTTTCTTAGAAGTACCATTACTTTTAACAAACTTATTGCTGTGCGTTGCATTTTTAAAAGTGGTAGATGATCTTCGTTTTCTACTATTTTGTTTCGTATTCAACCTGTAATTGAAAACCGATTTTATTACTACAAATAGTGATTGGTAGTTACTTAATTATAAGCGCCCAGTACAATCACCACAACACCAGCAGATGCTACAGTGGCAACTGCAAGAAGCTAAGGAAGCATCACTATTCACTGCCCAGGCCAATATCGAACTGGGGTGAGTTTGCAAATATAGAGGCGCTGCTGAGGTTTGATTCTAGCAACGCCTGATAAACGATAGATAGGTATTGTCTATATACGTAAGTATGAAAAAGATACAAATGAACCTGCAACACTGTAGGGCGGCTACTTTAGGCAGACGCCTCACTGCAAACCAGGACATTGCAGCTCCATAAAATCCACCAAAAATAAAAACGAAATCGGCAAATTTCGGTTTGCCTGGCATACCTTCGGAAGTAATCGGAATTTTCCGCTTTACTTTACAGCATGATACAGGCCGCGCGAAATAAGTAAACTTCGGCTCTGCATGCGCACTCGTCTTAAATTGGAGGGGCGGTAACTTTCACGCGTTGCCAGTGGCGTAGGTATTTATTGTAAGCTACATAAAAGTAATTATACTGTAATTTTGTGAATAATAACTTTAAATTATTGCATTTGTGTCATTTTTTATTATTATATATACTGCATTGCGCAAACAATTCCTTAACCCTCCAGCACTCGCGTTATGAGCATTTCTCTCACGCAAAGCAAGGCATTTCGTACACGCGCCGCCACTGTGAGATTTGACCGATCGGGTGCCGAGTACCTGCGCGCCCGAAGTTTACTTATAACGCGCGGCCTGTAATAACTCTTTAATTACGCAACTTTTCTCTAATTTGATCGTCGTATTTTTTATGGTTTCCAAGATCTCCATGATAAATGTCCTTTTCTAGGACACAGTGTATATGCAAGTAAAAAAAACACAAAGATTTTGAACTCCTATGGGCGTGCTTGTATCGCCAGTCTCGGAAAAACAAATTTATATTAAGTTCCATGAAATAATGTGGATCTTCAAAGCAAAAAATTAAGTGGGACACTGTGTTACGATTCTCAAAGCAAATGGAAATCTTTCAAAGTGCATGGGAAAGGCGTGGAACTATTTGAGGAACGTCCACGTATTAACGCTGCACTTTTTAATAAATCGGGATTAACCACCTCTGAATGGATGCTATATCAGCATATCAACTATATGCAATATAGCAATACAGTTCCAGGGGACAGGTCCGTAGCCTGAATGAAGTAGCAGGGGTGGCCGGTTTTTTGTAGGGGGTAAGAAGTTTCTGATAAAGACTTCCCCTGTAATTTTTGTAAAGGAACGTATAACCATAATTTCCAGTGGGGGCAAAACCACGTTCTAGGTGGGGAAGCTCTAGTACTGAGGATTGAACCCGTTGAAGACATTGTGATAAGCCTCTTGCCCATGTCTTCGGTGTCATTACTAAGGGTGAATCTAGAAATCTAGAATTTTTCGGGGGGGCTCCCCAAAATTGAAGCTTACATCCTTAAACCTACTGTTGGGTGTAAAAAATCAATTACACAACCAGTAGAAATCTATAATAAAAAGAAGTCAATTTATGACCCTGTTGTAGAAGATTCAAAAGAAAAATATTAAATCTATTTCAACATTGAAGTCATTGCTATTATGGTTGGTGCAAGACGATTTCGAAGTTCACTAGGAATCTACTAAAGTAACTTAATGTCCCCTCATCAGTTGTTTTGATGTTGCCACATCTGCAGTTAGACAATCCTGCAAGATTATTCAATCTCACCTTTACTCCAAAATTCAACAAGAATGAAATACAGCAAACAATAATCATACCTAAAAACCCGATAAATATTGTTGTGTAGACTACGTCAATAAGATGGGGCCACCCTGTATGTTGCAGTTCAATTTTTAAGTGCAGATCTGGTGAGTTAGTTACGAATAGAACCAAAGTTGGTTTATTTCACTTGAATTTGTATCTCAGTGTTAATTTTTCCTTTTAGAAATGTTCTTAAACGCGTAATTTTTGTTTAAATTTTAACGCTTTGCAATTATTCAACTTAGATAAGGTATTAGAAATTTGCGTATTTTAAAAAAGGTTACATCTGGTTCCTGCGATAAGACGTGAAGTGAAGCGAAGAATTGTGCGTTCCATCGTGGCTAGCGTTTATCTAATATGGTTATGATTGGCAGAGGAGGAAGAAGTTTATTTTATGGTGGAAGTGGTGTTTCCTTAAATTAAATTCGTGACGGTTTGAGAGCATGGACTTTCCTTTACAGGCAGTCCGTCTGTTTATGTGAAAACTTTTTTTAATAATCGGCATTTATTGTGCTAAATATGATATTCAGTATATATTCTAATGAATAGAAAAAGGGATTTCAAAGGGGCGAAAGTTCAGACTAATGGGCACCAACATTTTTGTGTTTATCAATTAATTGTGATTAATCAAACCCACTGTGCGACCCAGATAAAATTTTCATGTCAAATTTTTCTATTCATTCCCAAGAATTGTGTCGGGTGTTATTGCAAAGTTGTGTAGTTAATTCTTTGGAATTTTCGGAAGTTGATCGAGGCTACCGAGTCTCCCAAATTATTAATTTGAAATCAACGTTGAGATTTTTCATTGTGACAGGGGCAGAACGACTACGAGGAAAATAATTACAATTCTAAATTTAAAGGTTGTTGTGATTTGAGCTAACTGGACAAGTTCTGTGGGAGACTTAGTGATCGTTTGCTACTGCACACAGCAATATTAATACATGATACATAATTATACGTATTGAACAATACACAACTAATAATTGAACTTAAACTGTGCAATGGTTGTACCCAAAACCCCAAGGGTCTTAACAACAACCCATAAATTCCTCGCCCTCATTTTTTCTAGCAGCTTCTCTCTTTCAAGTATTACCCGCTGCCTCGCCCGCTCCCCAAACCATTTTTCGTAGTTCCAGAAAGAACACAGCACCTCCCTATAAAGTATAAGGTGTCCTAACTCTCTCCCAGGTTCCACAATGAACAGGGCTTTCTTTCGTTCTATCTTACTGGTCTGTATAGAGCATATATGGGCAACCAACGGCCCGCGGGCCTAATCTGGCCTGCCAATTAGTTTTGTCCGGCCCCTTAACATAATTCATAGTTAATACTTCATACGACCCGCCAAGTTACATTAGAAATTCGAAATAATTAATTAATATGATTATTAAAGTCACTAGATATAGAAAGTACCGGAATCATCCGCCATTTTTGGGCAAATTGCTGCCAACTTAAAAAAATTGACAAATAAAATTTGAATAGCTGTCATTTTTTATAACCTAACTTCCTCATGTTTTATAAAAATATATATAGATATCTCCAAACAAGTGGAACAATCTCTAACATTAAAGCTACTAGAATCTGGTAACTTCCGCCATTTTTGGGCAAAAATCATGCGTTCTCTCTCTAACACCCGAGCCCAATGGATAGCGGTACTTTCTATATTTAGTGACTTTAATGATTATGTTACACGTGCAGCATCTAGTGGAAGTGAACCGAAGCTTCCTAGACGTTTGAAAGCCTCTTTGAAGATGCGTTTCTTGTTTCAGGGGTATTTTTCAGATTTCATCGCAATACTTATATACCGGGTGGGTCAATAAAATGACACATGCTTTATGATTAAGAATCATTTTTAAGCCATATATTTGCAACAAATCTTATTGATTTTTACGAAAGCAAAAAATAGATCAAGACCAAAAAGGAATAGATAATTATTGATTTCTTTAAACATACTTTTTTGACTACTTTATTTGAATTTTCAAGTCTGGCCCGTGGCCAATATAAAAAATGTTATTTTGGCCCTTGGAAAAAAAGGTTGCCCATGCCTGGTATGAAGTATACATACAGTCCTGCACCTTACCTTAAACATCCACCGAATTAAAATTGGCTCTCATCCCCCATACGCACTACATTCCCCCCACCTACAATGAGAACGCCATAGTGGTTACAGAAGAACTCCCACCCACGCCCTATCAATCCTTTACTCTTGTCATCTCCCTCGGTGGCGCCTGGCTCACCCTTGAAAAAATGATCAACACTCCCATGAGCAGATTGCGAATTGCGTTGTGAATGCAGTCCGCGAATCGTTTCCCTTTTTCCATTTCTCTAAATATTCAATTAAATTCATACCAGACGCCTGAAGTTAATAACGGGTCATTAAATGTTAGTCAAATTTTTCTTTTGCCAAGTTGTTTTCTGCTACACTTTGCAGGATTATTTATTTATTTATTTGGCCTTTATTTTAGAATAGGCGGGGTTTAAGCCAAGGCTGCTTTACCAACCGACCCCAGTATACATTTACAAATATCCATGCCTGAACCCGGATTCGAACTTCACATAAACAAAGACCTCACACCTATATCCTTGAAGGCTAGGAATGTAGGTACCATTCTGCTTTGTAAGCAGGGAATATTGGAGCCTATACAATTTTCACACTTCCAAGATTGAACTAAATTTTTTGGCAATGACTATTTTCAGCAGGCAAACTAAAAATCAAAATACTTTGCATAAATACGTACTTATGGACTGAACTGGAAGACATGTGATGTGCCATTTTAGCCAAACGCTTCCTCTTTTGAGCTATCAATTGTGTGATACGGTTTGGTTTCTGTTTCTTACAATTTTCATCGAACCACCTCTTTCTAAGATGCAGTGATTCAATCGAAACAACATTATTTTCCTAGAAAAACATTTAATATTCACATACACAATGTAAAATCAATCACTTACCTGAGCATCACTATCACTATCAGTTGTTACTGTAACTTCCGAAGGGGAATCCCACCCTTCAATTTCTCTCTGTATCAAAGAATCGAAAAATGCCATCATTCGTGAATCTTCCTGCACCGACTGGTCACTATAATCATGTGAAATTCTCTACGGACAGAACTTTAAACCTAATACATATTTGCTAATTACAACCTGCTCGGTATGACCCACTAAGTACACATAATCCTCGTGCGAATATACATTTCTGGGTGTTTCGGTATGTTCTTTTACCAATGATCCTTCCCAATTACCTATTGGCAAAGTGCTCCACAACTGAAACAATCTTCTATTATATAATTAATATTAATTATTTACTAATCACCCACTTTAACCATTTTCTCCACACCTGAAGACGCAATAAGATTGCTGTGTTTATTATAACGTACTTGATTAACGATTGATCGATGTCCACGTAATACAACATGAGGCATACCCCATTCCGCTACAAAAAGAGCACAGTAAAAAGAGTGCTTCCAATTTTGTTAACTTACAAGAATCCTTTGGTACATGCCACATGTACAAGTTAAAGTCATCAGATCCACTTAGAATATACTCGTCATTATCGCCGGCAAAACAACAAGTCTTCATAGTACACGAGTTATAATATTGCGGATGATAAAACTGACAAATTGCATTTTGACTTTGAGTGGCATACAGAACTGGAGGTAATCTTCGTCGCAAAGCGAGCAAACGTGAACCGCTAGAATTGAAACATACACTAATTCCACTCACTTCTCCAGTCGTACAATCATAACGTATCAGTGCCCTAGAGATGTAAGGTATAGACTTAGAAAATCTACCACGATAAAATTTACTCTCTTGGTTTACGGTAATCCCATAAAGAAATGCCTTCCTCCGAATTTGCGGTGGCCAACAGACGAGAATTAAAGGGATTAAACATCACAGAATGGAACCCAGTCTTTTGTTTTGCGACACACAATGGATCTAAATAAATTAATGGAATCATACGTGTAATAAATGGGGAATAATATTACCGACGGTACTGGATTCTCTTATATCAAAAATAAGAATCCTTCCGTCATCTCCGGCGGTCGCAATAATAAAATCACTTTGTGGATTAACACTTAAACCGTACACCGGCTTTTTATGCAGCAATTTTACGACAAAACTGCCACTAAAATTACTCAAGCTATGAATAAGGTCATATTAGATGCAGTTTCACGTACATCCTCAAATCGTGAACGATCACCTGATCGTCATTCCCACCGGAAAATATTTTTGAATTTTTTGAGTCGAATGCTAAACAAAATATGTTACTTATATGATTTGTTTCCATTGGAATCGGCGCTCCCTTTCCGTGTATCGCGTCAGGGAGGGACCAAAGAAGTACTCTTCTGTCATCTCCGCCTGAAATTAAAAAAAAAAGAATTGTCACACATTTGTAAAATAAAATGTACCTATTGTGATAACTATACACTGTGCCGGAGATGACCACGGCCACTATAGGCCTAGAAAGGGGTAAGAGATACAAATTCTATTTTAAAGAGGGACAGTGGGGACAATAGATAAATAAAGTGCATTTTTTTAAACCGAAATAGCTTAGTAAATGGTTGGGTTATAAGGGGAGAAAGCTCTGTACACATAAACATTTAAAGACCGCCTGGTATACATTCAAAATCCTCCGACACTACAATATAATTGCACTGAAAGCTTCGACTTCACTAATAATGTCTCGTCCAGTCGATTCATTTTGCCTCCACTCCCCCCCTCCAAACCCCTCTTTTGATAAGGGGTCAGAAAGAAGGACAGTAGTTGGTGGAAAAGGGTGAAAGGGTTCCTTTCGTTGAGACCTTTAATTAGAATACCTGAAAGATAGAATTAATTTCCAACGGTTGGTGAAATACAAGGTGAGATGTGGTCAAAAAAGTTAAAATCGGTCGCCATTTTCCAAGATGGCGGCCGTAGCACAGCATACACTTGTATCCTTGTTCATCTGAGTTTTTTTTAGCTAATAAATAAACAAATATTGTTGTTTTATTTCCTTTCCTATACATGGTGTCCATTTTTCAAGTGCAACTATGGGGATCTCACTTATCTTAAGAGATAGAACGTTGGTTAAATGGGGGCAAAGTTGCCAATTTTCGTGCTGAATAAGAATCTGAAAAGAAATTTAAAATATCTTCAATAGTTTTGAAGATATCGCAAAAAAACGACAATTTATGATTTTCGTTTTTAATTTGTTTATGATAAACTAATCGTAGTAGAAATTTCTAATTAACACATTAGACGGACACTTTTTAATGAAGATTTCAAATATGGCATCCTGTTTTTAATAACTTTCAATATAACGGAGAAACACGTACCTTAGCAACGTTAGTTTTTCTTATGGGCGCCATTTTGAATTTTCACATTTTGAGATTACGTCTTTTTTTTCTCTTTACAACGATATATCACACACATGGTGGTTCAGTATCATATTTTTCCTAAAAATACAATTTTTAATTTTTTTAGAAGAGTGGTTCTCTGACTGCTGCAACCAGACAGATGGATCAAACTGTCAAACTTTTGTTTACAACAAAAGAACGTTTTGTTATTCCAAAGCACTCTTCTCAAAAAATTAAAAATTGTATTTTTAGAAAAATGTGATACTGAACCACCCGAGGAACCGTGTGATAATCGTTGTAAAGAGAAAAAAAGACCCAAAATGTCAAAATTCAATATGGCGCCCATAAGAAAAACTAAAGTTGCCACGTGTTTCTCCGTCATCTTGAAAGTAATTAAAAACAAGATGCCATATTTGAAATCTCCATTAAAAAGTGTCCGAATAATGTGTCAATTAAAAATGTCTATTACAATTAGTTTATCAAAAAAAATTAAAAACAAAAATCAGAAATTTTCGTTTTTTTGCGATATCTTTTAAACTATTGAAGATATTTCAAATTTCGTGTCAGATTTTTATTCAGCACGGAAATTTGCAACTTTGCCCCAATTTAACCAACTTTCTATCTCTTAAGATAAGTAAGATCCCCATAGTGATACTCGAAAAATGGACACCGTGTATATCCTTGATGCGAAGATCTTTATCAAGGGCAACCCGGAGTAACTAAATACAGGGAACAAATATCCCACTACCGAATTATTCATGCAACTAGTTGCATCTCGTCACCAAACGAGGTTGAAACCCTAAGGCCTAAATGATTAATCACATGTGGAAATATCAACGCAAAGTTTAGTTCGAGGTTTAGTTATATCACATTTTGCTGGGCTTGAAGAGGGCATTTTAGAAATGATATTAAATCAAATACCGTAAACTATCAAGGTAAACTACTAAAACAATTGAGGTTTGACAGCAATCTTTTGTCATCAAGGCACTCTCCTGAGAAAAGAATCAGTAGGAAAAATACAATTTGAGTCATATGAAAAACTAGGTTGGTGCTGAAAGGAAAAACTATGCTCAAAACATAGGATAACGACGACTCTCATGGTGATGTTGGAGTGGACTCTCTACATGCCTCCGCTATTCGAGCCACCGGTACAATACCTATATACAGAGAAATGCAGAATTACAGAACTATATATAATAGTCACACAGACAGACAGACAGACAAAAAATATAAATTCCTAAAGGCTATTTTGCTTCCTTGATGATAGCAATTTATGCTATATATGATAACAGCCGTAGATTTTTCTATAATATTAAACAAAGTACACAATATTCAGAACAACATATCTTCATCTGGATAATTATTAGATTATAGAATGTTATTAGAGTGAGTAAGTGCATTAATAATAAGTTCATTAAAAGATATTTAAATCCCCAGATAATTTGAAAATATTACAAAATATACCTACTAAAGAAACTTACCTGAGATGAGGAGCTCTCCTTCTGCAGAAAACTCGATGGCGTTAACACACCCATAATGGGCAAACAAGTCCTTTCTATATAAATTTTTAGCTTGTGCCAAACGTTCCTTAAATAGTTTATTTTTTATCACGAATTTATCGTTTAGTGATCTATTTATAACATATCCTAATGGGTTTGCAGACGATAATTTAGCCATAACATAAAACTACACAGTTCGCTTGAAATTATTTGACATTTAACCAATAAAAATCAAGAACTCGTATATCAAATCAGCTGTGCACAACATCTGGGAAAGGGAGGCCGATTAAATCACGAAGCCATAGAACAGAGGTAATTTCTATTCTGTATGCCAAGACTAATGCCAACCAGTGCAGGCATTGTAGGATTTGGCAACGCTGCATAAATCCAACTGTTCCCCCCCCGTTTGCATCTTATATTTCTTTGTATGTATCACGTGTTTGAAAATGAGTGAAAGATAAGGCGCTAGAAGGACCACTTTTAACTATAAGCTGGGTACTCAGAATCCATGAGAGTCCGGTATGACCCTCTCGTCTTGTCAATTAGCACGGGTACGCAATGTGTTCAAATTGAAATTACGCTCCAAAAGGTCACCTGGCACTCTGAAGGGCTCGCAGTCTATTTCACGGCGTTTCTAAACTCGACTAGTACTGGAAAAGATATAGAAAGCATCGAAAAGAACTCTAAATTGGTTCTGCGGTTTCTATACCTTACTAAAGTGTTTTCCCGACCTTAAGCGCATCTTGCTCTGGAATCCAAAAAATTTTTTTTTAAATCTGTTTATTTTTTAAAATATTTTAAAGTGGAAGAGCACGAAAAAAATATTTTTTTTTTTGTGGACTTCGCCCTTTGGGCATTTAGATACAGTTTTAGTTTTTTTACTGTACGATAACTATTGATTTTTGTATAGCCATTTTTGTCCACACTTTTCTGTGGTTTCATTAAAGTTTTGGGCATTTATAAAATGCCCAAATAGACATTATTATTATTGTCAATCTTTTTAGTCAAAATTCAGGTCTAGCCTGGTTAACTAATCGCACGGATTAAAGTCAACTAACGATTAGTGTTTGTCTCTAGTCGTTTGTCTGGTCAAGTTTTTGTAGTCCTAAATTTTATAAATGGGTATTAAATAAAATTAATTTAAAAAAATAATTACATATAATAAATAATGTATCAGGCATTAGAAAATATGCTCATGTTTCACAGTTTTACAACCAACATAATATTATGCGTATGCGAGAAAGGAGAGAACTTCACTATACTTGTCTAATTCACAAAACTATAACAACGCGTATTCCTGAATATTTGTATTTTAAAATTGAAATTCGTGGAGATCTTCATGATCGCAGATTAAGAAATATTATGGACATCCAAATACCTGCGCACAGTACCACACGTTACGAAGCTTCTTTTAGTTACCTGTCTGCCTATTTGTACAACAAGGTTCCTCATGTTTATCGGTCGCTACCTCTGCAACCATTTAAAAGGAAAATTAAAAATCTTTTGAAAAGAGATTCACTCTTAGATGGCTAAACGGTGCTTCTCGGTTAATACAAATGTTAATGTTTTTCTCTATAACACGAATTTTTTTTTTGTATTATTTAGTACAATCAATCTGTATTTTTCAGTTTAATGTTTTTTTTGTGTGTCATTTATTTCGTGCTGGTTAGGAAAAACAGCATTATGCTGATCCTCGCCAGAATAATAAAGATTATTATTATTATTATTATTATTATAAATATGATTTAAAAAAACAAAAAAAACAATTACAAAAAATTATTATTATTATTTAAGGTAGGGATTACAATTGGGGGGGGGAGGCGATAACATAAACTGTAGGTACTGCAAGTTTTTCATTGGTCATGTAGGTTTGGAACTCAAGTGCAGAAAGTGGTCTGCATCCACTTTCTATGGAGAACTACTCACCCTTCCAATGTACAGTGTGTCCTATTTTGGTTACATTGTATCCAATGAATTCATAAACTTATAAATTCAATGGTATATCTACTGTTAGAGACCTGCAGTTTTCGCGATCCTGTGCCACTATTTTGTGAAACTTAATCCCACAAACGGAATCAATGTAGCTACGATTGCTTCCGAGATACAGGGTTAAAACGAACAGTTCTCATACCTTACTATCGCTCTAAGGGAAAACGGCCTATTTTATATATTTTTACGTAGAATCCCGTACCATGGTCCCATTTTTCGACCACCATAAACCATTTCTGAGATTTGACCCACAGTTGGTATTTTTTAAATGCAACACTATAACTTAACGTCAATTTTTTGCACTTTTTCGTGAAAAATAAAGTCAAAAAATAAATAATAATAAACTCCAATAATAGATTTGATTAATTGGTACTGTCTTATAGCTACCATGGATACAATAAAACAATCTACTTCACACCAGCGCTGTGTTAACATCAAATATTGTATTGTTAAAATAAAACACTTTCGATTTTTATCTGTGTACCAGTATGCCTGTCATTTAATAACACAAATGTTGTCCAAATTAGAAAAGAAGACAACAAAAAATGTATGTTTAGTGTATTACTCCTGCTTTAATTAATAGTTGATTACAAAAACACATGAATAGTTATAACTTTTACTACACACTTTTGTTTCACAATATTGTATTGCTGTGTAATGAATGGTAGATTTGGTTACTCCGCCTTAATTGATCACTACAATTTAGCTCCATTAAATTTACTAATTTTTTTTATAAAATAAATACATATAATTCAGCTTAATCAAGTGTGCAATAGTTGATCCATTCATCTATTTTAAAAAAATTGATCCTAGTTTTGAACAGTGATTATAAAATAGTACAATTGCCATAATAAATTTAAATATTATATACTTATAATTGATTCTCGCCCTTTTCCCACACCGATCCATTTTACTAAAACAATAGGCATTACCAAACTGTTAGTTTAAGAGAGAGTTACCTGGCACTTCTAAAAGTTCTTCTAGTTTTTCGACATATTGTTGAGCGTTTGCGGGCAAGCTATTAAATTCCCGAATGTTTTCGGTACACGTCAGCCAACCTGGCATGGTAACATATTCAACTTCCACCATATATAGATCTGATATACTAGACGGGAAATAATCAATTTTTTCTCCACGTAAGGTATATCCAATTCCAACTTTGATTTCGGGTAAAGTATCCAAAATGTCCAACTTGGTAAGACACAGCGCCGTATAACCGTTGACCATATTTGTGTACTTAAGCAATGGAATATCTAACCATCCGCATCTCCGTTTACGTTTCGTGGTTACCCCAAATTCGTGCCCCCTTTGTTGTAATTGTTCGCCAACCTCCTGTAATTTTTATCGAAACATAATAATTATTTATGATTATAATTAAATTACATTATCTAATTCTGTAGGAAAAGGTCCATCTCCGACACGGGTTGTATACGCTTTTACCACACCAATAACCTCACCTATTTTACTTGGTGGTATACCTAAACCAGTGCACACTCCACCTACACTACAGTTGGAAGAAGTTACATAGGGGTAGGTGCCTGAAATATTAAGCTATAGAGAAACAAATAACTTAATATCTGTCCTATGAAAGAATGTGCAATTTATAACTAATGATTTATAACGTGTAACGTTGTGATGATCAACTACAAGGGAACTGCTCAAGCTCTTCACATGAATCTGAATCCAAAAATTTTACCTTCGCTTCCAAAAATTCTGTAAAACATTTCAATACTTTTAAAAAAACCATGCATGTAATTGATGACTATAGGCAACCAGCGCTACAAAAATTTCTCAGTCTGCAAAAGTCAAGTGAGCTATTCAAAATATACGCCATTATGAACTTTGGCGAACGCATATTTAATTAATTTTGAGCTTAGTTTAAAACGAAAAACGTATAATTTTTAATTATTGAACCAGATGGGTCGCTGATGTTTTTTTTAGCAATCGCAGTTTATTATTGTTTTACTGTTTGTCAATTTTTTTTGCTTGATTATTGTGAGGGTTGTTTTTTAAGTGTCTTTGAAATATTCTAAAAGGCGAAAAAGGGAAGCAAACTTTGAATCGGCTCAACATACCCTGTGCCCTGGACAGACAGACAGAATGCATTATTACATAAAACATTTGCTTTTGCTTAATAGTGAAAATACTGGTACCTAGGGATTTTTAATATTATTATGACTCTTACTTGTTTTACAAGGTATACTAAATTCAAATGGTTTGTTCCTGATTGTATCCTAATTTGGCACTTTATAAAGTTCAAGAATTATGTTATATTGATTGCACTACACTGACTACATCAAGGGAGAAGAATATTATATGAAATTACACAGGAAGAATATTGAAACTAAGAGGCGGGAACTACAACTTAAGGTGATATTTATTCGACATCACTTTTTTCATTATTTTGATTAACAGCAACAAATTCTTACTAGCGAAATTAAGTTTTTGTCTCAAATACCTTCCAAAAAGTTTGGTAGTTTGGATACAATGTTAAAACCAGTAAAAAATCTATAGCATGATTAAATGGATAACATGTAAAAATGAATACTAACCAAAATCGATGTCCAGCATGGCTGCATTGGCGCCCTCTACTAACACTTTACGTCCCTCCTTAATACATTTATACAGGTAACACACAGTTTCCTTAACATAAGGCCTAATTTTTTCTGCATATACCTTATATTTTTCTAGCTCTGAATCTACATCTACAGACAGGTTAGGGAACATACGTTGATACATTGCAACCAAAGCTTTGAACCTGATACAGAATATTAAAAAATCAAATTAAGCGATTGCGACAACTTACTTTTCACTAAATTCGTAGTAATCTCCTAACAGCTCGCCAATTCGAATTCCGTTTCTTGTGGCTTTTGAAGAATACGTCGGACCGATACCTTTTTTAGTTGTTCCAAGTTTTTGACCTTTTTGACTCTTCTCTAGCTCTTGAAATCCGTCAACTTGTTGATGAAAGTCAAATACTAGATGTGCTCGATCTGATATTACCAGTCTATTTTGCCAATCGTCCAGTCCTTTATTGATATTTTTTTCCAATTCTTCAAAGAGACCAGGCAGATGAATAACGACTCCGTTACCTACATTCAACATGAAGGGAAAATCAGTAAATTTGATTGGCTTGCGGCTTCCAACTTCTGCGCACGTTATTCATTATGCTAGAGATTGCTCAAAAAACTGCCTTAGATCTACGCAAATTTGCCTCCAAATAGCAAATCTTATATATAAACCTCAGTAAATGTGGAAAGTTGGAATACACATTTTAGAAAAATATTTACAGTTCCCAGAAGGCATGCTCAAAAACAAAGCCATTAATAATTGCATTCTGCTATCGCCTCAGAAACATACATTTTGGACTCCTCGTTTACTTAGAAACCCTTATGGGATATCAAAAAATGATTTTTATAAAATATGCCTCATATGGAGGGACTCTCGGACGGACCCATTTATTGATGCTATGCACATTTTCACTTTTCACATAACTATGTAAGGCAACCTAGTTTTTTCAAATAGAAACCTATACTTTTTATTGAATTTTCTTATTTCAAAGCTTTTATTCGATTTAAAAATTTGCCAATTCTGTATCAGGATCATATGAGTGCGAGGAGGTGTTTCTTTTCCTAATACTATACCTGTTACTTGTCGACAAACGTATGCAAAAGGTGTCGTGCTACAAGGAGAACATAATATACAAAGAGGTCTTTTTCTAGCTCTGTCAGGTTTGTTTCAAAGCTTTCATTCGATTTAAAAATATGTCAATTCTGTATCAGGATCATATGAGTGCGAGGAGGTGTTTCTCTTCCTAATACTACACCTGTTACTTGTCGACAAACTTATGCAAAAGGTGTCGTGCTACTAGGAGAATATAATATACGCCCGAGAAATTTTGGTGTAGTCGATTTTTGGTAAAAAAGGAAGGTTATACACTGCCTTTTTTAGAGCCCCGCTAAAAAAATTGTCTCAGATCGCCCGGAAAAAAAATTTCCTTATAGAATGTGGCCTGTAGAATCCATAATTTCAAACAGTTCCAAGATTGGGCTACTAGTTCAAAAGTTACAGCCCTTTGAATTTTTTTTCGAAATTGGTTTCGTCTATAACTTTTGATTGAGAAGTCTGATCGAAAAAGTACGAATTGATTTGGATTCTACGCGCCCAAATTAATAAGAAAAAGTGTTTTCCCGAGAAATTTTGGTGTAGTCGATTTTTGGTAAAAAAAAAGGAAGGTTATACACTGCCTTTTTTTGAGCCCAGAAAAAAAAATTGTCTCAGATCGACCCGGGAAAAAAATTTTCTTATAGAATGTGGCCTGTAGAATCCATAATTTCAAACAGTTCCAAGATTGGGCTACTAGTTCAAAAGTTACAGCCCTTTAAATTTTTTTTCGAAATTGGTTTCTAGTCTATAACTTTTGATTGAGAAGTCTGATCGAAAAAGTACGAATTGATTTGGATTCTACGCACCCAAATTAATGAGAAAAAGTGTTTTCCCGAGAAATTTTGGTGTAGTCGATTTTTGGTAAAAAAGGAAGGTTATAACTGCCTTTTTTTGAGCCCCGAAAAAAAAATTGTCTCAGATCGACCCGGAAAAAAAATTTTCTTATAGAATGTGGCCTGTAGAATCCATAATTTCCAACAGTTCCAAGATTGGGCTACTAGTTCAAAAGTTACAGCCCTTTGAATTTTCTTTCGAAATTGGTTTCTAGTCTACAACTTTTGATTAAGAAGTCTGATCGAAAAAGTACGAATTAATTTGGATTCTACGCACCCAAATTAATAAGAAAAAGTGTTTTCCCGAGAAATTTTGGTGTAGTCGATTTTTGGTAAAAAAAGGAAGGTTATACACTGCCTTTTTTGAGCCCCGCAAAAAAAATTCTCAGATGGACCCGGAAAAAAAAATTTCTTATTTTGAAACAGACTGTATAGCAACAATAAATAAAGAATAAAAAAATCAAACAAATATGAGAGCAGTAATTATGTAACTATAGTTCCCCATATAAGTTTTTAATTTTTTTGATAAAAAAAGGGAAGTTAGGTATACACCATTTTATTATTCTGTAAAAAATGAATCACTTTTGTATAACTCAAACATTTTAGTATGTGGTATTTATTATAAGTAAAAATACTCGAAATTCTCCCATTAATCCCATAGACTCCAACTAAAAAAATTAAATAGCTCACCTTACCTATCCACAGATGTAACCCCCTCCCACTATTAATTGTTTACCTTAGTTTTGACTTTACAACAATCTACTTTTGTTCATCTTTGCATCATTTAAATGTTGTTTAGATCAATAGTATCAAAGAATTAATAATTAAAGCAATTTTACAAGTAGGTGTCACCACATGTATCTAACAAACTATAAATAAATTTCAAACTTGCAATTTAATAAATAATATGCAGTTAATACAGCATTAAAACCATAGAATTGATCAAGTTTATTTAAACCACGTCACCCCTGAACAGGTTCCATTTAATTACCAAGTTGTAAATGGAGCAATTAATTTCAAACTTCGATCCTACAGCAATAAATAAACTAGTAATAAATAATTACATACTTTATGATCTATTACAATTTAGCAAAATTGATGGAGGGGGTTAACGGAACATTTTAACGAGAGCTAACCAATAGTATAAATACTAATTGTACAGGGTGTATCTAGAATTTTGAAAACGAATGTACCCTACTTGTCATACAATGTTAAAAAGCTCCAAGGGCCTTATGTTCAATCAAAACTACAAATACTACTCATTGTTAAATATAAACTTATATTTTCCGTTTTTGTAAAACAAGTTATAAACTGTAAATATCTGCTTTTGGGTTCTGTCATAATTTATAATTATTCCTACACCCTGTACACGGTGGTTCAAATTCGTGGCGCACCATTGGGATCTGTGTAAATGTGAAAGAACATGGTAGGTTAAATGGGAGCCAAGTTACCCCTTTTTGTGACCAAAAAAAAACGTATTTGAAATTTTTGAAATATCTTTGAAAATAACTGAGATACTTAAAAACTGAAAATGTTAAATTTAGCTTTCAGTTTAAACCGAGGTTTAAACGGTCGGTTCCCTTCTATGGGCACTTTTTTTGGAGAATCTGAATCTGTTATCAGTATGTCCATAACCACTCTACATGAGATAATATAATATAATATATTATTTCAAGCATAGGTATATTCTGTTGATTTAAATTAACATTATATACTATTGTTTTTTGTTTCCAAGGCACTCTCATGAAAATTGTATAATTAACCATTTTAGTTACCACAACAACGTCAGACTGTCTCAAGCCTATTAATAAAGGCATTATTGTCATAATCCAGATTCCAGATAGTTTATTTCAATTATGAATTTGAACATATTAATAAAAATACATTGTTGAAACAGAAGCATTTCTCCAAGAAGAGTTGTTAGAATAGAAAGTCGTGCATTCGTTATAGCAGCCCAAGATTCATCATGACACACTCATTTGATATTTTTTTAGAAACTAAATAAATGGAGATAGCCACAAACAAATTAGACAGCTCGGCCTATCTTTATGGGACCATGAAAATTAAAAGAAACAAATACATTTTAACATTGACATACGTGCAACTATTTATAGCTGGACATAGCAGGTGGCAGCGAGAATATCTATGTTAATATGCCAAACAATTTGTGTAATCTATTGTTTTGGACGCATTCCAAAACGTTTTCGAAAAAGAAACATTGTCATTACCTATTGCTTGCTTACCTATCACTGATGTACATTTTGGATTTATAATACCGCTCGGTAATAGATGAAAATCATATTCTACGCCATTAGCGACAACAGTATGACCAGCATTGTTACCGCCCTGCAAATAGAAGATATATTTAAATTTGTTATGCAAGAATCGATATGGAGGAAATCTTTGTGAGGATAAAATTTAACAATTAAGTCGCACCGCTAATGTCGTGGGTTTTAAGCTGTGATACCTTTAGTTCTAACGGAACGGAACCAACAGCTATGGGTTAAATAATTTGACGTGCAAATATTTCCATTAATTTATTTACCAATTCACAAGGTTAAAATTGCCATTTCGAGATTTTTAGGAAATGCAGCATTCATGTTACACAATCCATAATTTTAGGGTTAGAATTCCCAAACTTGAGCATCATGTGAAAACTTCTGACGTAACGAGCTATAATCACTACCAATTCGCGTAAATAAGCAGTCACGAGTTTAAAAATTCGCAATTGCCTAAAAATAAGTTCCAACCCAAAAATTGTAGATTACAAAACTAGGGTAACTCAAACTCACCTGACATCGGCAAACCACATCGGCATTAGAAGCAAGCGTGTCCACAACTTTACCTTTTCCTTCATCACCCCATTGTGCCCCTAATATAACGGTAACCTTTCGTTCCATGTCAGTCCTCAGCTTTTTCCTAGGAGACCCCACCGCGTTTCCATTAGTATTATTCACGTGTATTACACTAGTCATTTTTGTTTATTTAATTACACGTGTAAATAAAAAACCAACAAGGAACGGGGTATGACAGACGAAAAATCGTCGTTATCAACTATATTGCTCTTCTCCCCCACAATTTAGGAGCACGCAGCGGTAATACGCATGCTTTCTGTACACCCTAGCAAATAGCCATGCGCAAAAATTCGAATTTAAACTAATGATGCATTTGAAAAATTGTAACCTTTCGACCAAACACCACAGAAGCGGGAAGATCTGGGCTTGGTCCGAATTATCCGGGAAAACTGTAATCAACTTGAAAGTTTTAAATAAACAGATAAATAATGTAAACACTTGTGATGATTCAACTACTAATTTTACCGGAAGTTGACCTAAACTACTGAGTCCAGTTGCAAAACGTCAGCGCATTGGGGCCCCCTTCTCTAGAAACTATAATAGTCATTAGTGTTTGCATTCAAATGATTTGATATCTAAAATATCGGTTCTTTTTACCAGCCGCACGTTAGTAATTAGTAAAGGGGAGGTACGCATATGCTGGGGTAAAATATTACCGGGACTTTTTTTACGGAAGTACACATTTTTAGCACCACGAATCCGAATCAAGGATGATGTCGGTCGATCTGTCTGTCTACTTTCATTTCCGGCTAAACGGCTGAACCGATTATTAAAATGGGGTAATGAGGCGGTAGTTGCAATAAAACACAGGACGATCTTTATTCGACTACAGCTTTCGTGTGATTGGATTTGTTTTAGTGTGGCCAAGGGTATGTATACATAATATGTATTCCCTTAGACAAGGAAAGAACATAATCTTAGTGTATTCCTGTAAAAAACAAAAGAGGGTTTATTTTATATGGAAATCATGACCCCCTTCTAATAACATTCATTTTTTTCCACACTTTTTTGTAGTTTCATTCAAGTTTTGGTCATTTATAAAATGCCCAAATAGACATTATTATTATTGTCAGTCTTTTTAGTCAGAATTCAGGTCTAGCCTGGTTAACTAATCGCACGGATTAAAGTCAACTAATGATTAGTGTTTGTCTCTAAGTCGTTTGTCTGGTCAAGTTTTTGTAGTCCTACATTTTATAAATGGGTATTAAAAAAAATTAATTGAAAAAAAATAATTACATATAATAAATATAATTTAAAAAAACAAAAAAAAACAATTTCAAAAAATTATTATTATTATTATTTAAGGTAGGGATTACACATTGGGGGGGAGGCGATAACATAAACTGTAGGTACTGCAAGTTTTTCATTGGTCATGTAGGTTTGGAACTCAAGTGCAGAAAGTGGTCTGCATCCACTTTCTATGGAGAACTACTCACCCATCCAATGTACAGTGTGTCCTATTTTGGTTGCAGTGTATCCAATGAATTCATAAACTTATAAATTCAATGGTGTATCTACTGTTAGAGACCTGCAGTTTTCGCGATCCTGTGCCACTATTTTGTGAAACTTAATCCCACAAACGGAATCAATGTAGCTATGATTGCTTCCGAGGTACAGGGTGAAAACGAAAAGTTTTCATACCTTACTATCGCTCTAAGGTAAAACCGCCTATTTTATATATTTTTACGTAGAATCCCGTACCATGGTCCCAACATTTTTCGACCACCATAAACCATTTCTGAGATTTGACCCACAGTTGGTATTTTTTAAATGCAACACTATAACTTAACGTCAATTTTTTGCAATCTTTTTCGTGAAAAATAAAGTCAAAAAATAAATAAAAATAAACTCCAAAAATAGATTTGATTAATTGGTACTGTCTTATAGCTACCATGGATACAATAAAACAATCAACTTCACACCGGCGCTGTGTTAACATCAAATATTGTATTGTTGTTAAAATAAAACACTGTCGATTTTTATCTGTGTACCAGTATGCCTATCATTTAATAACACAAATGTTGTCCAAATTAGAAAAGAAGACAACAAAAAATGTATGTTTAGTGTATTACTCCTGCTTTAATTAATAGTTGATTACAAAAACACATGAATACCTAGTTATAACTTTTACTACACACATTTTGTTTCACAATATTGTATTGCTGTGTACTGAATGGTAGATTTGGTTACTCCGCTTTAATTGATCACTACAATTTAGCTCCATTCAATTTACTAATTTTTTTTATAAAATAAATACATATAATTCAGCTTAATCAAGTGTGCAATAGTTGATCCATTCATCTATTTTTAAAAAATTGATCCTAGTTTTGAACAGTGATTATAAAATAGTACAATTGCCATAATAAATTTAAATATTATATACTTATAATTGATTCTCGCCCTTTTCCCACACCGATCCATTTTACTAAAACAATAGGCATTACCAAACTGTTAGTTTAAGAGAGAGTTACCTGGCACTTCTAAAAGTTCTTCTAGTTTTTCGACATATTGTTGAGCGTTTGCGGGCAAGCTATTAAATTCCCGAATGTTTTCGGTACACGTCAGCCAACCTGGCATGGTAACATATTCAACTTCCACCATATATAGATCTGATATACTAGACGGGAAATAATCAATTTTTTCTTCACGTAAGGTATATCCAATTGCCACTTTGATTTCGGGTAAAGTATCCAAAATGTCCAACTTGGTAAGGCACAGCGCCGTATAACCGTTGTAAACAAAAGAGGGGTTTATTTTATATGGAAATCATGACCCCCAGACATTTTTAGTGTCTTCGAATTTTCCCCATTCATCAGTCATAATAATATATTAATTGTGACGCAACATATTTTTTGTATACCTCTATCATTCAACATGCTTGGAATCAAAATTTGGTACATATTTTTTAGACATAAAAGGAAGGGGGTTGAAATGTACAAAGCCAGGTCGTTATTCTTTTTTAACTACGTAGACTAAAGCGCCAAAATGTTACAGCCCAAAACTCCAAAATAATTATAATTTTTGTCACATAAAGAACATACAAATGCCCGCTTTCCTGTGTTAGTATTAAACGTTCCTTAAATCTCATAAGCAATTCAGATGAATAAACAAATTTTGCGCATGCGCAACCCATCATTTTGTATTTGCTCAATTCAATTGTTTTATATTTATTAAGCTATTTAAACGAAATTTTATGAGTAGGCATCTCGAATAAAAGTAAAACTAATGCATATTCCAAAAATGTGTTTTACAAGATGTGCTGATCCGTAAATTTGTAATATAAAAAATAATAGTGTATATGACAGGCATATTACAAAAATACTATTTAGATAATTGCTCATTTCTAAGGATATAATTAGTCATTGATAGGTGATGATGAGGGTAAGATAACAGATTTTCAATTTTCACAGATATTATTAGCAACCAGCATAAATTACACATTATATAAACAAACAAATCATAGAATCAGAGCACAATCAGTAAGTCTTTAAGTCATGAAATAATACTGGATTATACATATCACAAAACAATAATTTGAAAATATCATTAAAAAAGTTTGGATCATATCTACAAGCACGCTCACAATCTGGCATCCAGTTGACTTCCAACAACTTAGGTTGAATCTTGTCATCCGACCATTCCAAAATTATATCTGCCGCATATAAAGCTCGTGATTGAGGACTTTCCGATATACCACAAGGTGGGTCCATTTTAAGTGCACAATTAAAAACTTCTTTTAGCATGCACAATATTGTTTTTTCTACTTCTTCCCATGGCCACATGGCATATTGCTCGGCCCATTCTCGTAAAAAATCATTGTACACCATGTGCTTTAAATTTTGACCATTATTTGTATAGTTCATTACAGTGAAATGTGTCTCATAGTCATCAAAATGTTGTAATATGAAAGGATTATTGGCAAAACGCAAGAAAAAGTGTTTATGCACGTACATTTCCAATGGTTTTACACCTTTGAGCAAAATGACATACCGCACATCGAACTTAACTTTCCCTAAACTATCGGGACGATAAAATAAAACCGGTCGATCCACGTATTTCTGTACAATTTTGGTACCAGTTTGTGAAAGGCGAACAATACAATTTATGTTATTGGTAATGTAAGTATCCAAACTTCTAGCTAAGTTTACTGGTTTAACTATCCAGTGGTTATCCAACCCTTCTTTTTCACGATTCAGAAAGTAACTGACAAAGGGTGTAAGTTCAGTTTTTAAATTGTAAGTTATAGGCAACCATCGGGGGTACGCCACCGAGTTGTAGGCACATATAATTGCCAATAAATCTTTGTTATTCAAGACATATTCAAAAGGAAACTGATTAACAAACTTATTAGTTAAACTAAGCTCTTCAAAATTTTTAAAATGCTCAAGCTGCCACAAAATATCAGCATCTTCTGCATTATCTACAATAGAAAAATGCTCATCTGTGAGATACTCACTTAATAAACTATACTCAGAGAAAACCTTATAATTTGTTTTTACTTTCTGTGTTTGAATACTAGATAAAATTGGCAACGATTCTTTAATATGACCAGATAGGAAATAATCTGGATCAGGACCTTCATGTTCATAACTAACATCCACGAAAGACTTTGTCACCCAAGGCAAAACCAAAGCATCATAATCTTTCTTGTCGACATTCTCCATGAAATTACGTGTTATAATCTCCCCACAGTCAATGTCTCGTGTCGGAAACATAACCGAGTACATGGAGTTGTCATGAAGATGTAGAAAGGGCACTATACGACAATTGGCATTTCCACTGTGATGAACTGCAGAACCCACCTCGTCAAGTAGATACCAAATTGGTATCTTATCTTCGACATTGTTTGTTTGTGCCCAATAAAAGTTTCCATACTTCCATATTTCATCAAAAATCTGTTCACACATTTCCTCCTCATTTTCTGTCTCTTCAACTCCCGTGATTGATGCCACGCGACGGCGAAGTTCAGTTAGCGTTTGCAATTGTTTTCTGGCATTCTTTACTTCGAACGTCCACGCATGATCAATTAGGTAAATATTAGATGGATCATTAGCTTTTATACCGTCCTCTAAATGAAGCTGTAAAACCCAAGGGACGAAATCTTTATCTCGCATATCCTGGTCATCCACTCTAAGTAATGTGAAGGCATTTCCGGCATCGAAAACTTGTTTTTCAAGCTTTTCGTGTAACACTTTTACAAAATGCTTTGGGATCATTGATGAATTTAATTGTTGCTCATGTAATTGTTTAAAGGTATCGAAATCCATTTGTAATTTACTCTAAAATAACAACAATTAATTTAACTCATAACCTACAAAATACAAATTGACACAAACACAAAACACGTGACACATGTAAAACATAACGTGACTCTCAACAAAAGGGAATGCGGTTTATACAGGGAATTTTTCTTAAGTTTTAATGGCTTTCATCCGTTTTTTTTAAATTGTAATTTCTTACTTACATTCAAAATGTTCAAGATGAATACGGATCGGTTTCGTTAAACAACATAATTTTTAACTTATTGAGAGGTATTGTGTGATCAAAATCATTTCTATATAGACATGCCGTCTGCCTGCATGATCTCGAATTTAAACTTAACTTTAATAATTTAAATATGTAATCATCTCAATAGTTTCAAACTTTTATAAGTTTATTTTTTTCCCCCCGGTTTTTTTGAAATGTGTTAAATTCAACTTTCAACTTTTAATGTAATAATTCAACCCTCCGGTTGGTTGTCTTAACAAGGCTTGATAATAATTCGTTTTGAAACTTAGGACAACCTTTCCGGTTTAACCACCCTTCAGGTTGTTTCATTTGGCTTCGGCCAGTTAATAATTAAAAAACAACATGTTCGTCTTATTCGTCTTCAACGTTTGTAACTTACCGTTTTCCTGTTAAAAATTTTACATCGCCTGATGATGGCAGTACGCCAAAACTATAGTCGCTTTTATTTTTAAAAACTTCAACGAATAAAACTATATGGGGAAGGTTTAGAGAGTTTTGATCACACGATATATATTTCAACCCCCATTTCGAGGTACGATGGATCCAACCCAAAAATTATTGAGAGGTTCCAGCCTGTATATATACAACTTAGACGATGCATATATGGTCATATTGTTGAGAGTTGGCAACTACGCAATTTTTAAGAGAGCCATCTTTGAGAAGAAGTAATCTTTATAATTTAAAATCCTTCTGTACGTGTGTTTGTGACTGAGATCACAACAATGGGATATTTTGTTAAAGTTGCTACACATAACATTCTCTCATTAGTGGTGGCGAGCAGAGCAGAGCTAAAATTTGCTTTACTTTACGATCATCTTTTATCCTTTCTCTGTCTATCCTTCTCTAATGGCCGTATACACCGACAAATTTAAGCGAGGCTTAGCTTAGAGGCTAATGGCAACGATTATTACGACAATGCTTGCCATAGATTTTAAACAACGCTTAAACTAAGCTGCGCTTAATTTTGTCGGTGCATACGACCATCTAAAACATTACGGTGTTGCTGTTGCAAAGTTTTCCTCCATACTTAACATATACACGACCAGAGCTGGGCAGTATTCGATTTTGTAAATACTTTTTAGTATTCAAATACTTTAAAGTATTCAAATACTTTGTAATTAAATACTTTTATGGAAGCAGTATTTGTATTTGTAACTCAAATACTTTCCAAATATTTAGTATTCGAATACTTCGCAAAGTATTTGAATACTTCGTAAAGTATTCGAATACTTCGCAAGGTATTTGAATACTTTGAGAAATATTCGAATACTTCGCAAAGTATTTGAATACTTCGTAAAGTATTCGAATACTTCGCATAGTATTTGAATACTTTTAAGTTATTCAAATATTTGAGAACTATTTAGAAATGTTTAGGGGAAGTTTCCATTGTCACAAAATCAAATATAAAAATCCGATACAACTGAATACCGAACGATCCTGGAGTGAAACTCTTGACCCGATAGTCTACGTAACTTAAAACAATAGAGACCTTTCATAATATATCCTTAAGATCATGTGTACTAATTTTCAAAGCGATCGCACGTTTCTAAACAAGTTATCATACACACGGACAGACGGACGGACAAAAAGGGACCTGTTTCAAAATCGCTAGGATTAATTTGCCGGCCCGTGTGGTTTTGCGCAGTTCAGTAAAAGCTGGACTGTGGTGCTAAGGGTACTTGGTTCGAATCCGGGTTCGAGCATGGATATTTGTAAATGTATAGAGGGTTGCGTTGGTAGAGCTTCCTTGGCTGAAACCCCGCCCTCTCAAAAATAAAGGCAAAATAAAATAAAAATAATTTCAGAAAGGTGTACATGTCATGTGCACGACGTACGATCGCTTTGAAAACTGGTACAGGTAATCGTAAGGATATAACTGATATACGAAAAGTCCTGGTACTTCCTATCCTATATAATAATATAATAATAATAATAATACGCTTTTACTCCCCGTAAATTTGTATATAACATATTAAAAAAAGCTAACCTCAGGCAAAGGGACTACATTCATCCCACAAAACGCTGTTCTTCCATGTAGCCCCCATACAAAATATAACTGACATTTTTTAAGTAGTATTAAGACTTGGATCTAGTACTATTTTAAATTTTTAATGTATTTGAGTGACAAGTATTTGAATACTTTTTACTGTATTCGAATACTTTTCAAAGTAATCTAATGAAATACTTTTCAAAGTATTCGAATACTTATGAAAGTATTCGAATACATTCTAAAGTATTTGAATACTTATTTTTGAAAGTATTTGAATACTTTTCAAAGTATTTGTATTTAGTATTTGCTTCTGCTAGACGTAAAAGTATTTAGTATTCAAATACTTTTAATTTGTCTAAAGTATTTACTATTTAGTATTCAAATACTTCTTGAAAGTATTCTGCCCAGCTCTGTATACGACCTTCCCGCGCCCAATGACTGAACGCATCCATTTGTGATGTGTTTTGGTTTCCTAACCTCAACTTTGTACGCAAGGTAAACGATATTATTGCTAGAATCATATCAACACAAATCAACGTGTAGGAATAGTCTCGGTATTTTCACTGAATATATAAATGTATATGTAATTTGTAATAATTTTAGAATTCATAAATGGACACTGATTTATATGATGAGTTTGGGAACTACATTGGTCCCGAACTGGACAGTGACGAGGAAGAAGAAGATGTACAGGAACAGTATGCGGATGACGAGGAGCAGCAGGATTACGATGACGAACAAATGGAGGAAAATGAACCACAGCCCATGCCAATCGTTTTACATGAAGACAAAGCCTATTATCCGTCTGCGCAGCAAGTGTACGGTCCTGATGTAGAAACAATTGTTCAGGAAGAAGATGCGCAACCGTTAGAAGTTCCACTAATTGAACCGGTAAAAAAGAAGAAATTTCAACTTAAAGAACAAGATTTACCGGATACTGTGTACGATATGGAGTATTTAGCAGATATGATGGATAGTACACCACTTATTCGTAATGTTGCCCTTGTCGGCCATTTACATCACGGAAAGACGACATTTGTCGATTGTTTAATTAGGCAAACCCATCCCGGCTACCAGGATTATGAAGAGAAGAACTTAAGATATACAGATATACTTTTCACCGAACAAGAACGTGGTACGTCTATTAAATCGATTCCGATTACGTTACTTTTGCCAGATGTAAAGCAAAAAAATTTCCTCATAAATGTGTTTGATACACCCGGCCATGTCAATTTTTCTGACGAAGTTACTGCAGCAATGCGATTGTGCGATGGAGTAATACTCTTCGTAGATGCGGCTGAGGGTGTAATGCTTAATACGGAACGACTTCTAAAACACGCCGTGCAAGAACGCATGCAGATTACTTTGTGCATTAATAAAATCGATCGTTTAATCTTAGAACTGAAACTGCCTCCTCAAGATGCTTATTATAAACTCAGGCATATTGTTGAAGAAATTAACGGGTTATTAACATTATACTCTACCGACGTTAATCCAATCATTTTGTCACCAGTTTTGGGTAATGTATGCTTTGCTAGTTCGCAATATGGTGTTTGCTTTACCCTAAAATCGTTTGCTAGCATTTACAAGCAATATTACGATGACGTAAATGTTGAAGAATTCTCTAAACGAATGTGGGGAGACATTTATTTTAATAGTAAAACTCGTAAATTTACAAAGAAAGCTCCCCACAACTCGGCCCAAAGAAGCTTTGTGGAGTTTATTCTGGAACCGCTATTTAAAATATTCGCTCAGGTTGTTGGTGACGTTGATACGACTTTACCGGATGTACTAGACGAACTGGGAATTAAATTAAACAAGTTGGAATTAAAACTGAACATCAGGCCGTTGTTAAGGCTGGTTTGTAACAAGTTTCTCGGGGATTTCTCGGGCTTTGTCAGTATGTGCGTCGAACACATAAATTCTCCAATTAGTAATGCAAAAATAAAAGTGGATCACATTTATACAGGACCTACAACTAGCAAGCACTATGAAGACATGATTAAATGTGACCAAGAGGGTAAACTAATGGTACACAGCTCCAAGATGTATCCAACCGACGACTGTACATTTTTCCAAGTACTCGCACGTGTGATGAGTGGCACGTTACATGCAGGACAAGATATTCGCATTCTTGGTGAGAATTACACGTTACAAGATGAAGAAGACTCTCGTGTGCTAACTGTGGGGCGTTTATGGATTTATGAAGCACGTTACAAAATCGAACTAAATCGTGTACCTGCAGGAAATTGGGTGCTAATTGAAGGAATTGATCAATCTATTGTCAAAACTGCAACAATTGCAGATCTGACAATATACGAAGAATTGTATATTTTTCGCCCCTTAAAGTTTAACACACAAAGTATAATAAAGATAGCAGTAGAGCCAGTGAACCCCTCAGAATTGCCAAAGATGCTGGATGGTCTACGAAAACTCAACAAATCCTATCCTCTTTTAACGACACGCGTCGAAGAATCCGGTGAGCACGTCATCTTAGGTACCGGCGAGCTGTACCTAGATTGTGTAATGCACGATCTACGTAAAATGTATTCCGAAATTGATATAAAAGTTGCCGATCCTGTTGTGTCATTTTGTGAAACGGTAGTTGAAACTTCCAGCTTAAAATGTTTCGCAGAGACGCCTAATAAGAAGAACAAATTGACAATGATCGCCGAGCCATTGGAAAAGGGCCTCGCCGAAGACATAGAAAATGAAAATGTTCAAATTACTTGGAATAAAAAGAAACTGGGGGAATTCTTTCAAACTAAATATGATTGGGATTTACTAGCTGCTAGAAGTATTTGGGCTTTTGGACCAGATGTCACCGGACCTAATATTCTTGTTGACGATACCCTTCCCTCCGAAGTTGACAAAGGTTTGCTAAATTCTGTAAAGGATTCCATTGTGCAGGGCTTTCAATGGGGGACAAGAGAAGGTCCACTGTGTGAAGAACCCATCAGAAATTCAAAGTTTAAAATTCTTGATGCCGTAATTGCGCAGGAACCACTGCATCGGGGTGGTGGGCAAATAATACCGACAGCACGGAGAGTGGTTTATTCCGCATTTCTAATGGCAACGCCTAGATTGATGGAACCGTACCTCTTTGTTGAAGTACAAGCTCCGGCTGATTGCGTTTCTGCAGTTTACACAGTATTAGCAAAGCGCAGAGGGCACGTTACTCAAGATGCTCCAGTTCCTGGCTCACCTCTCTATACCATAAAAGCATTTATTCCAGCCATTGACAGTTTTGGTTTTGAGACTGATTTAAGAACACATACTCAAGGTCAAGCTTTCTGTCTGTCTGTATTTCATCACTGGCAAATTGTACCAGGTGATCCTCTGGATAAAACAATTGTAATACGACCATTGGAACCACAACCTGCTACGCATTTAGCTAGAGAGTTTATGATTAAAACGAGAAGAAGAAAAGGTCTTAGTCAGGATGTTTCCATTAACAAGTTCTTTGATGATCCTATGTTATTGGAGTTAGCTCGGCAGGATGTTATGCATAATTATCCTTTGCTGTAATTTTATAATGTGTACTTCTTGTAACAGGAATAAATGTCAAACTAATTTTTTTTAATTGCAATTTCTTTTGATGTACAAAAGGGGCTTAACAAATCAAAAAGTACTGCAGATAGTCCAAGTTGATAAATTTAAATCTCTTTTTTTTTCATAAGGTATGAATAAAACTGAATTTCCCCTTATAAATAACATCCATTATGATTTTCGAGTTGGTTTTGACTGAAGTACTCGGTTATTAAACGGTCAAGTGACTGCCTAGAAAGTTTTAGTACATAGTTTATTTATTATCCCTCTCTCGTTCTGGGCCCTTATAGTCGGGGAGACATTTCTGAAAAAGGCTCTCTAAATCATGTCTAACGGCGTTTTGTGCTTCAAACTGGCAACAGGCGGTTCTAGACTAATTTGCTTAAAAAACGTCAAAAAAGCAAAAATTCGTAATTTTTTTTCTGGCCGGTTCTCTGCGTCCAATATGTATTCATATGGTCAAGTTAATACATTTAGGTATGTGGGGACCTCCAGTAGCGCTATATACCTGGGGCCTAAATATCAAGATGGCGCCTGGAAACTCCAAAAAAACAGTGAAAAAGTCGTTCTTTTTTGCCGTATTTTTACTACACTGGCCACTCTTTACGTTCGCTGTTCATTTTGGTGTTCTGGAACATTATTATGAGTAATTGCGACTGCCACCCCGGACGTAATACACCCCCACGAGAGGGGGGGGGTGTGGAATTAGTGTTGTTGTGCACCTTCGTCGGCGCCGCTCCTAAAGTATTCGTCTGTGTCGCTTCGATGGCGTCTTCCACCTACGCCCGACATTTCATTTAATAGTAAAAGTCAATTAATTTTACATCATGTAACTAAGATTACATTCAATGAAGATATTTTTTAATGTTATTGTTTAATTGTCATCGTTTTTACCCCATGCTGCCTTTCAAATTTTGCATTGTGTGCTTCTAAAATGGTTAAAAAAGTTTTTTATTCTGTAATTTCCTTAAGCTAGAAGATGACCGTTGCGAAACTAGTCGCTGCTTTTACAATTTGTCTATTAAAATAGAATGGGGGAGGTTTTGTGTCTTTTTGGGATTTAACCTGGGATTTAACGACTCACGTCTAACATTTACATTAACATTAACCAATTCATACTAATTTAACATGATATCACATTAAAATTCTAACGCATGAAGATGTTCTATTCAAACGTTAGGTCACATCTCTATTGATCGTAGAATAGTGCTCATGTCTTCTTTCGCGATGATGGCTTCCATTTGACTGTTTCAGTTTTCAATATTTTTAAAGAAAACTTGGGAATTAAACATGTTTTAATATATTTGCCCTCAAATTATGCCGCCAAACCAACTTCTGCCTCTTAATTCCATAGTTAAAGTTTATAGGAGACGAGTCCCCACTTCTGCAGTTAAGCCCTTCAGTTTTGTAACATATCCAGAATGATATTCGCAATTCGCCATATTATTGCTCCAGGCCATCGAAATGGGGAATGTGTGGCCAGTGTAGTAAAAATACGGCAAAAAGAACGACTTTTTCACTGTTTTTGGACTTGACAGGTGCCATCTTCATATTTAGGCCCCAGGCATATGGCGCTGTAGTAGGTCCCCACATACTTAAATGTTAACTTGACCATATGAATACATACCTATTGGACCCCGAAAACCGGCAGAAAAAAAAGACGAATTTTTGCAATTTTTAAGCGGAGTTTTGGCATTTAAGTAGGTCTCTATTATACGAATACGAAAGTGTGACTAAACGGTGTCGTCGTACGTACTAGATGTTATTCTACCCTTAAACTACCCAAAACGTTCAGTGGCGTGCCTTATGTGGGGCTCGAAATAACCGAAAAACGGCAATTTTGGCCGCCATCTTGGATTTAAGGGCTTAAATGCCAAAATCGGGTCTGGCAACAGGGCGCATCGTTTTCAGCGGGGGCAAATTAGTCTAGAACCGCCTGTTGCCAGTTTGTAGCACAAAACGCCGTTATAAACATGCACTTTTCAGAAAAGTCTCCCTGACTATTAACAGAGGCTTGAGCCTAATTAGGGGAAGGCATTTAGACGATTTTTGAAAAATGTATTAAAAAACGTTTTTTGTTTTGAAATTTATAAATATCTGGACTGCTTTCGGTGGAATATTTCCAGTAACCTCTTTAGTTTAATTTGTTTTTATAATTATTGTATATTTACGTTTTAACAGAACAATGCCCTTGTCCAAATGTATAGGTACCCCATTGGTGGGACAGTTATAAACAGGAGGTTTGATAAAAAAAAACCGCCTTGGAAACAGAGACTTTACTTTGTCAACACTTAACAGATTCTACAGAATGTCATAATCATCAAGATCATATATTGAATTCTTCTTAAAACAATAAATCGGAATCCAATGAATCATCTTCTTTGACAGACGAAATATCGAATTTGTCCAAATGTACCCCACCCTGACCTTCTAATTATTTAAGGCCCACAATTTTGAGATTAGGAATTATAGCAACATGATACATGCAAATATTCTAATTAAAACAGCCATTTTTGGGATAAATTTTTTAAGTTGCACTTTTCTTAGACCTATTGGCTGCACAACCTTATTAAGAATATGACTTCATATTACAAAATTATGATTTTAAGTGCTAACTCTATTTTGGGGAAAAATATACAATCGGGCGGTCTGAGGTTATATGGGACCCCCCCCCCCCATTGTCCCAAAAAATCACTTTTCTTTACAGAAACAGACGCATACCGCGCCGACTTTGTGGACACATTATTACCAAAGAGTGTTACTCTTTGTTATTACTATACCGCGTGGTGCACGGTAAGTAGGAACATAGGGATTATTTAACATGGGAAATTAGTTTTATGCAATATCCTGCCCCTCTCGGTGCATTTTACAGAAAAAACTGTAGAGTTGAAGGTTGTTCACAATTAAAAATTAAAATTACATTGTTGTGTTTGTTAGATTTCTCTAAAGCCTTCGACACTGTTAATCACTCTACTTTAATTACAAAACTAACATCTAGGCGGGCTTCAAACTGGTTTAAAGACTACCTTTCTGATAGAAACCAACGAACGAAAATAGTGACTGATGGTAATATTTTGATTTCTGACTCCCTAAGCATTAAATGTGGTGTCCCGCAGGGTAGCATTTTAGGTCCCTTGCTATTCAATATATATGTTTCTGATCTTCCGATACATTAAATACCGTGACATACATCAGTATGCAGACGATATACAAGTTTTGAAAAATGTACCATTAAAGGGTCTCAATGAACATATTAATCAACTAAACTGTGACTTAATGGTTATTTATGAGTGGGCAACACTAAATAATCTTAAACTGAACCCTGCTAAAACTATAATCATCCCAGTCGGTACCAAAAAAGGCATACACAGATTTTTTCAAGAACAAATAACACAAACACAAGCTGTGAAAATAAATGGTGTCTGTGTAGAATTTGCAACCTCTGCGCGAGTCCTTGGTTTAACTCTGGATCGAACTTTAACCTGGGAACCTCACATTAAACTTATCTGCTCAAAATCATCATATAAACTGAGAACCTTATATAAGGCTAAAAATCTTTTGTGTACACACATTAAACTAAAGCTGGTAAAACAATTAATACTACCTCATTTAACATATGGTGATGTGTGTTATCAGGGACTCAAAAAACAATTGTCTTATAAAATACAAAAAATTCAAAATCACTGTTTACGTTTTGCGTGTAATCTTAAACGTAGTGATCATATACAACCTATACTTAAACATCATAATATGCTAAATATGAGAACTAATCGAATATACCACATGCTAAGACTTTTGCATAAAATCATTCTTAATCGAATACCGCTTTATATAGGTACACAAACTTTCGGACACTCAGTATAGTTTCCATTGTTACGGTACTAGGACTTCAAATATTTATATTCCTAAGGCCCAGACAAGCATTGGAGCATCGTCCTTTTATATACAAGCGGCCAAATTGTGGAACAAGCTGCCAGAACACACCAGGTGCTGTAATGGTTTCGATCGCAAGTGTTTTTGTTTGTTGCAGAACTCTGAACATGTTTTTTTGATGTTTAATGTGTAAATTTATACGTAGAGAGCTATTATGTTTTCGTTTTTCTTGTTATACTGTTTTACTTACTTTTTACTTTTTTTCTGTTATATTTACTTACTTTGTATTTCATAATAGGTATTGTTAAGTTATTTTGTTATATCTGATGCGACCAAGTTTGTAGAGGGGGGATACTAATGGCCTTATGGCTTCTCCTATCGCTTAATAAATTTATATTATTATTATTATTTATTATTATTAAAAAGTACATACAAAACTGTTTTTACATATGTTTTATTAAGCTTTTGGTATACCTGCAAATTTAAAAATAAATTTCAACATTTATAGTAGCAATTCATAAAACAACAAAAGTCATGGCTATTGCTATTAATAACAGAAATGTTGAAAAGTAAAAATAAATAATAAAATATGTAAAAACAGTTTTGTATACACCTTTGAATTCTGAACAACTTTAAACTCTACAGTTCTTCCTGTAAAATGTAAGAGGGCAGGATATAATTGCATAAAACTTATTTCCCACGTTAAATCCCTATGTTCCTACTTACCGTGCACCACCCGGTATACCCTCTGGTGACGAATGATAGAAGTTTTTGCTTCTCAATTAGAATGTCCAAATGTACCCCGCCTTCTCCTACAGAGTGACCCCCTTAATGGTTTTTGGAGTTGCCCCTCTAGCCCTCTAGTGACGAATGATAGAAGTTTTTGCTTTTCAATTAGAATGTCCAAATGTACCCCTCGTTCTCCTACAGAGTGACCCCCTTAATGGTTTTTAGAGGTGCCCCTGCAGAAGTATACTGTATCTGTGATTATATTATATAAGTATGTGTAACCTGGGCAAAAGTGACTTTGCTTGACCAGGGCCGTGACGAGGTCCCCAGAGATATGCATTTTCAGGCCCCTTTCTACTAATTTGTTGCGAAAATTGAATCATTGCCCCTGTGGCGACGCGCGGCATGCACGTCCCGCAGCAAAATAAAACGTGCTGCACCCTCATTGGTCAAAACGGCCAACCAATGAGAGCGTAGCGTCCCTAAAATGAAATGTTGTAGAGAAATAAAATTCAGAAAATGCGTATTCAATTGATAGCACATTAAAATTTTATATGATTTGGTAAAGCAATTTTCCTATGCTTTTGTCCCCTCCCCCACGAAGTACTTTTTGTCTTTCGCGCCTGTAAGTCGGTGTTCAATAATCTGCTGCAGAAAGTGAAGCAGGGAACATTTCAAAAATAGAAGTAGAGCTGTACACATTTCTGGACGAGAAAAGGAGTATGTACATTAGGGTCCCTGAATGACTATATCTCATCAAAAAATTCTCTTTATGTAGGTCCAATACCTGCTGCACCAGTTGAGCGGTTAGTTATAGAGATAATGAAGGCGAGCAATGTTACTTAACCAGCGAATTGTTACTAATAAAATATACTTATTTTAATTAAAAATGAAAATTAAGGAAACTGTGTACTCGCAAAAAACACTCCTGTAATTGAGTGTTTGTATTCGAGGAGATGATGAGTAAAGTACTCTGTACTCACTTACTGGCAAGTAAGTATCCAGTACTCGAGTACAATTTGCTAGTATTAGAACCCAGCTCTGTCCGAAAATTGCAAAAATTATTACAATTAAATTTATTAGCGTTATTAAGCTCCCAAGAGTTTCAATCTTTTCATTGTGAATTGCTGTTGTAGTAAAACTACCATACCGGGTTCGCACCTCCATATGCAGTATGGCGTCTTATGGACTAAATCCCTCTCCTACTACTCATTCATCGATAACGCTATCTTTGTTCCTCACTGCAATGAAGCCAAACACAACATAATATCCTTGTACATAAGTAGCATACTGCATTTGGCGGTGCGAACACGCTAAGTACTTTGTAGTACATATTTGTCAGAGGGAATGAAAATTACTATTAAGTCAATTTTTTCATCTAAAAATTGAGCATGGTACAATGAAAAACAATTAAGAGGATAAGTCAATTCTGCTGAATTTTTGAGACATAAGAATATAGATGGGGTTTAATCTATAAGTAACATCACAATAAACAACAGAGTGATTAACAACGTCAAGCCCGAAAAGAGAGAAAAATTGGAACACAAAAAATGTTTCAAAATAAAGTTATAAACATGTTTCTTTTATTCTTTTAACATATTCAACCGATATAATTTACACTGTTTATTCTATTTCATTAATGCTATTCTATTTAGAATTAGACTCTTCATCTTCTATAGGTATATTAGGTGCATGGAATTATCATCTTGTCCTTCTCACTCACCACAAACACTTGCCCAATGTCGTTGTATGAATAACTACGTTTTAAAAAAGTATCCAGTAACTGTATTCCTGAAATAGATCGCAAGCCTGGAAGTAACGGAATTGCCTTTAATTCAATCTCTTGGAATCCCCGTGCTGGTAACGAGTTCAATTTGTACCCCGATAAACCATACCATGACATTCCTTCAGTAGTCTCCAGTATTAGCATTAATTCCACTGTCCTTTCACTAAAATTCACAAAATTACCTAGTCTATTATGCCCAATACCCGCTTACCAGTTATTAAAAATTTTGCATTTAAACGTGAATAATTCTTCTAAATTAACAAAGTTTGGTAATTCAATTACTGTTAACCGAATGTCATCATATACTGGGCCCTAAAGTGTAATAATTATAAAAAGAAAGCATAGTTCGATACTTACTATTCTTTGAAGTTGACTAGTTTGCAATCTACCTCTTTCGCCCAAATTTGATCTCCAGACAATATCAAGCTTTCCAATATTTGTAGCACCACTTAACATTTTGAGATCTGCAGCAAGCTTAGAATCTGGCGATAAACAATAAAGGAACTGACAACTGGCTTGTGGTTGAAGAAGAGTAATTTTACCAAATATATTTGTACCATCGGAAGAGACATTCAGAGAGGTGACTATAATGCATAATTACTTAACTGGTTTTGGACACTATGTCAGTATACCATTAAAAAGATGGGATGCATCTAAAGCAACTTTCTCTAGACAAATTGGTCCAGACGTGATATTTTGAACTTGAGCTTCTAAGTAAACGTCATCGGATTCTGCATTGTAAAATTTAGTTTTAACATCCAAAGGTTTTAAAACCTGAATTTTAAAGAATTTACGAAATGACAGTGTATTCCCTAAGGCAGATTGGTACGTTACTTCACACACTAAACTAAAACGGTTTGTTATCGGGATTTTGTATAATACGGTCTTACATGTGTGTTCCTATTTCCTTCACCTCATAATGTATGACAGTATTTACGGTGTCATCCGGATTTAAAGCTGGGGTGGCCGGTTTCATTGACAACGGCAAACGTTGTGAGCTTGTCTGAAGGTCAACCTAAACAGTAATGATATCTAAAACAACCTTTGGTTTAAGTTTATCACGTACTTTAACAGCGACATTATTCACCACCTGATCGGTTTCGTTAAACACACATACGTAACTGGAAAACGTTTCACCAAGGTAAATGTTCACAGGGCTTTGGGGAAGCAATAGGAATTGACCTGTCATAATTGTTTCTAAACCATGAACCGCTGTAGGATCTTGTTGCAAGGCGATATTAAGTAAATTGCCGGGTAGGTCTCTACTGTCGCAGGTGATTGGAACTGCACTGGCCAATGTAGGTCTGGTTAATCTCATCACTGAAAGAATCATTGGTATATCACTAAAGTTGACTCATTTTTTACCCTTTAATCCTAACAAATGTTCTTCCGATTCCATATTATTTGGTTATCATAAACTATTTCTGTGTAATTATATTTTTGCAGTGCAAATAGCTGTCTTTAAAATGTATACATTGTGTTTTTGTGTACTTTCCACTTTCCGGGCGGCATCTGTTATTTTTTGGTGCCTCACATAACGACTGTGTCCTACTCAGCGGCGTACCTAAAAATGTGTAAGTCTATGCGCAGTGGTGTGACAGATACTTTTATTTGGGCTTACAGGGAAGTCGAATTAAGAAGATGCAGAAGAAGCGCAAGAGAGATTTCTAACCGACGTAAAGAAAACGTGACGGAGGTGTACAGGCACAAAGAAAAGGTAGAAAATGTACCGTGTGTCCCATTTTGGTTGAGACTGCGGTGTATCTCAAGCTGTTTTTATAGATAGAAACTTGCGGTCTTCGCGGTCCTGTGCCACTTTTTTTGTGAAACTTTTAATACCACAAATATAATCAATTTAGGCTACGTTTGTTTTTGAGATACAGGGCGAATACGAAAAGTATGACTTTTTGGCACGTTATCATAATATTTTTCTACCCATGTAAAATAGCAAAAAAAGGAAAAAACTGTTTGTTTTAAATATTTTTACATAGAATCCAGTGGCGTAGTTAGAAAAAATTTTGGACCACCCTTTTTGAGATTTGGCCCAATAATGTTGGTCAATTTCTTGCGAAATCTGCTCAATTCGTGATCGCTGTTTGCATCGACGTTTTCCTTCCCGGCTATCGTGCATCGGAATTGTCTTGGCGAGAGTAGGTAGGTTGGGGAGAGCTAATACACCACCACTCCAAGGTCACCACACGTTCAAGGTCAAGGTCATGATACTTCAAGGTCGAGGTCATGGTTACTTCAAGATTACCACACATTCAAGGTCGAGGTGATTACCACTCTTCAAGTACAGTTAAACGAGTCACCCATCACCAGGATACATAAAACACAAGTAATTTTTAACATACATATTTATTTTTTAAGATACAGAGCTCATACTTTAAAAAATACAGATATATTGATGTCAAAATGAATATTAAAGAAACACTTTGAAGGTTTTCAATATACGGTGGACAGCTTCGGGATCAGGTGTACCATACTAGTAATTACATATGAAAGTAGCGTTTACTTCACCTCGACATGTCGGCTTTCTCTGTAATAATACTGCGTACACACAATCCTTCGACCAGCGCAGGTGTTCATCTAAAGGAACGTCGCTACTTTTCCACTTGTTGATACGAACGTTACAGAAAATACATTTTACAGTATCACCAACTTGTGTATACACAAATCCAGCACTTGCGAGGGATTTTGGTGATTGCGCTCCTTTCCAAGATTGGTATGATAATAAGCGCTTATCAAAACAGAAGTTGTCGGGCTCCACATCTTCTCCACACATCTTGAAACAATGATTACCACTGCTTGGGCGCTAGCAGCTTTATGTATCCCCTCCACTGTCATCCATCACACTTCAAGGTTAAATCCACCACACAGTCAAGGTTAAATCAATGATTAAATCCACCACACAGTCAAGGTCTCCACACAACCAACGTTACGTGGGGGATTTGGTACTATATAATACACACAATGTAATGCATGGTAGTAGTCACCGATCATGGATAATATCAACTTTTTAAAGCAAACCGTTGATAAATTGAAGAACAATAATACAGTGCCTTTCACGGTTAGTGATGTTAATTTAGTCAATCAATCGCGTTATGAACTTAACAATAGTAAAAGTAAATGGGTGTGTGTTGGACTATCAGTGTACCGTCAATTCACACCAATGGTAAGAATCAGTGGATCCAAGACTGCAGGTGTTTCCTTTGATAAAAGTGAATGGAAATTATTCACAGACAATCAAAACCTTATTACGAATTACTTCTGCTCAACAGAAGGAAAATTGTTACCAATTAAGGTGGGATTCAAAACCATAACGTCTGAAGTGATAAACAATACCAAAGTCATAAAAATCGTTGACAACGGGGAATGTGACATTTATATGGCATTTGGTTCACTTCAACGGTTGTGGTTACTGGCGAATTTAATAACGTACCGTCTGGAAATGTTAACCACATTAGAGTTTGATAATTTTTACAATAAGATTATAAATGCCTCCGCTGAAATGACTGGAGATTACATTGAAAATATAATGAGTATCATTACACCGTTACAGGACTTGCATGACCAGAACACTGCCGTCTTAATGGAAGTGGTACTGTTTGTCAAGGACAAACTCATGTGGGATGCTGAAATTATCAAGTCGTTAAACTAAGTGGGGGAATTGTATATATATTTTGTGCATGTTTCTGTATGAAACACTAGTCATCATGTGGTTTGCTTATAGTCAGCAGAGTTGGCCTGTTGCTTATGATGGATATTCGGCGGTGCAGAGATTACATAGGGAAATGAGGGATTTGTGTTTTGACGCTGAACATGAGCAAGTGTATGGTTTGGGAAGATGGTACAGTGATGAATATTTACATAACCTAGCGGACAAGTACACCAGTGGAGAGAGCTTGTGCCAGGAGTATTTATTAATACACAAGGAAGAAGAAGGAAATGGTTTCACCATCGAAGATCATCCAAGAAACTGCTTTTCGTGCCTTCGACACCTTGTTGAGGATTTAAAATCCAAATCACTTGACAGCTTCGTGAATAACATCGAAAAATATTTACCAAGAGAAGATGTCAACGGGTCGAGTGAAATTTAATGACTCTATAAACACAGTGCGGTATATGGTCGTGTGGAAGTTCGCGCACCATGCAGCTCGGATAGGATTATGGGAACAACATGCAAGAGATACTGAACGTTTTAAAAGGCGAATTATTGAGTTAGACAAAGTTATATCCATTATATTAAGTAAGCAACATAGGGAAGCTATATACATTAGTCGCTTTAGTAATGGTGAATGTATAGAAATGAAACAATAAATTTGTAAAAAAACATTTTATTTTTTATATTATATTACATCTGAGGTAGATATCCAAGAATTATGAGAATTGTCAAATCCTAACCATTTTACAAAGGACTTATCACCTCGTCGACGTATTACACGTTCCACTAAATGAATGTCTGGAAATTTGACAGCCTGCAGTTCTGGTTCGTAAAAGCGACCTTTGATGTCTTGCTGGCGACTATCTCGTAAAATATATGAAATTGGTGTTGATCGTTTTACCATAGCAACTTGAAAAACTTCATAGCTCCAGTTAGGGGTATAACCTTTAGAGAATACACTCCTATGCTTGCTGATACGCACATAATCTCCCACAGCAAACTTGGAGGGTTTGGGATCCATTACTTTACGGTATTTGTAAGATTTACGTAAAATGCTCGCAGAATTTTTATCATTAACTTCATTAGGTTTATATCCAGTAGTTCGATGTTTAGTGGAATTGTACTTTTCAACTATTTGGGGTAAAAGCGATAGCCATTTGTAAGAACCCTGTAAGCTGAATGCCTTCCACATCATTCCTTTAAGAGTTCGATTAACTCGTTCCACAATACTGCTTTTAAGATTAGAATAACTACTATAATGGTTGATGTTGAATTTTTTCATAACGTCACTGAAGTTCTTATTATAAAATTCCTTTCCCATATCAGTTTGTAAATTTTTTGGAAGTTTTCTAAGTCCAGATAACAGTTTATTCATAGCGTCTGCTACGAGTTTTCCATTTTTACGTTTTATAGGATATGCCCAAACAAACTTTGAAAATGCGTTTATAACTACCAAAATGTAGCGAATACCCTTGTTAGTCCCAGCATACGGTATCATTTCAACTAAATCGGCTTGAAATAAATCATTAAGACCTTTGATCACCACAGATCGTCGTGGAAAATTCTTTCTTGTCGGTTTATGTAATTCTTCCACTATCACTTCCTTACTCATTTCTTAAGCTTGGATTGCAATATGACATTCAGATAAAATCCGACACCTACACCAGCAGAGTCGCATGATACACTAAATATATCATTTCTTTTCAATGTCAACCCGATCAACGATGAAGGAGCGTCAAACTTTTTCTCATTTATATTTACTTTACTATCTTTAGGAAACCATGAACAACTAACAACGGTTCCTTCAGTAAGAGGAAATTTATATCTAGTATCTTCTTCACTATGGTAAAGGTAAAACGATGATGCTGTTTTATGCATTATTCCTTTTATTTCAAACTGGTACTCATAAGTATATGTTGACGGGTCATACATATAGTGGTGCGCGTGAATGTGTCGTCCAAATTTGTCGAGAGTCATAATTGTAATGAATTCAAATGCAATAAGAGCGCACCTTTATTCTTCTTGCAAAGGAACATGCAATATGACCTCGAACAAGAATGGCCTCTGTAATTTCTTCTTACAATGTGCTGATATCTGATCATTAAATGTTAACACATGCCCTCTCATTGTAGATGGATCCGTATAGGTTTTTCCAGCAATGTGGACTGTAGCGTCAGATGGAAACCATCTGCACGTTGCAACGATGGCTTTTTTCATTGGGAACAAGTAAATATGGTCTTTTTCCCCATGAATAGTAATTCTACGTGTAAAACTGTGTTGATAACCCATAATTATTAAAGGTAGTTCAAGCGCCATGGTCTTACTGATAAATAAATATACCTTCTCATTGTATTATACCAGAATTACGCAACTCTTCAGTTATGTAAATTATTTCATTATGATTTGCCGTGTTCCCGGCAGACTTAGATCCTAATAACACCCTTAACCAATTCACTAACTTGTTTGGATCATTCCAAGGAACAAATTCTATTTTTTTATTGTTAAGCTGTAGAGTTGATAAAGTACCTCCCCGTTTCGTAGAAAGGGTTAGAGCGCGCTGTCTGAGTGTTGGACCTAGATGTGATGACGAGAATCCGCTTGATGAACTTGATCCTTGCAACAGTGGTTTAATAATTTGAACATACTTTGGTTGACCGTTTCCTTGGATTTGAGCTTTGGCATCATAATGTCGACGTGCTGCACTAGTGCGTATTATAATATCACGATAAGCTTTAGAATCTGCAGATTTAAAGCCAATGGGATTTCTTTTAAAGAGTAGTTCGAATAATCCTGGAGTTCCCTTGTATGTGAAGCGTTCTCCATTAGAAGACACAATCACAATATCTTCCTTAGCAAAATCTAATTCCGAATCACCCACGAAA